TCTAGATCAGGTTTGGCTTGAACATATCCAATGAACCGCGTTCAGCAGTGGCACGGTATTGTTGCCACTCCAGCGAACCAGCGAGAATTCCAACGGTAGTCGTAGCTTCGGCGGCAAGATTATGTGCATCGTTGCCCTCCGCTCTATCGAAAATGAAATGCTCGATGAGAGGAATGAAGAAATGGCTGACATTTTTGCTGCTTAACTCTCCCTTCTCCGCGGCTGAGGAAAGTAGCCCTAAAGCGCTGGACTGACGACCTTTACCTGCAGCAATGATATTATTAAAGAATGAAGATTCTACCTCATCTTCGCCCGCCAAGAGACTGTGCATATCGCTCACTTCAGACCAATCCGAAAAGTTGCGGATCAAATGCGCCATAACTTTCATGTATTCGCGACGAATAATTTCAGAAGGTTCACGGACACCGGCGAAAAGGGCTGGAATTAAGATCGTGGAAAGCATGTTTTGGAAAGCTGGAAACTCTGAAGTTTGCTTCGCATCTTTAGCTGCTTCGATAAATCGACATACTCCATCTGAAGAATTCGATGACAGAATACCAAATTCTTCGTCATGCTTGATATAGAAGAGCATGTTGAAAAGTAAAGGAGTCCATTGATGCGAATCGAAGTCAATATCTCTCTTGGCGTTGATGGCATTGAAAGCCTTCAGTCGGCGATCGTAATCTGGTTCGTCAAGTCGTCCTTCAGCAAAAGAATTGAGATCTGAACACAATGCTGCCACTTCCTTCAAAACAGGATCTTTGTCTGAGTACACTAACAGCACTCGTGATAATACTTCTCTGCTAACCTTGTCTTTGAAAAAACCAAAGAGGGAAGTCACAGTATGGTAAACTCGATCCTGAAGGTCCACATCATTTTGGAGATCGTAGAGAGGTACAAAGTGTTCCAAAACTAAAAGCAAACCGGCTTTAGTCTTGGGAGTCACTCTTCGCGAGGGCTGATCGAGTAAGAAAACTGATACATCAACCAAGTTGCGGCCTTGTGTCGAGTTTGAGACGAAAGGTGCTAACTCAGAGACAGTTTCAACACAACCTTCGAGCAAATCTTTGCTCATATCGTTATGGGTACGAAGAATACCACCTATTTGAATAAGGAAATGATCCATATTCGGTGTTAAAAGCTGTTGCTTTATGGTTTCCTTGTCTCCTACTGCTTCATCTTGTGCACACTTGACGACACCCCGGATGATGGAAAGAGCGAAAAGTTTGACTTCATCCTTGGATTTTGAAGGTGCTAAACATTCTGCTACCTTTGGTAAGATTTGGCTGTGGCTACCGAGGAGCAAAACAGTCTTCATCGAGGCTGACCAGGCAGAAAACAATCGGAGGAGACCGGAAACACCCTGCGCAGTTTCGATTGGTAAATTATCGAGTCTTGGTTGGACAATTCGGTCACAATGAGATCTACATATGGAGACCAGTCAAAGTCTACCGAGTTATTGAACAGGAGTATGAGACACTTCAATCCAGTCTGTCGAACAACTTTGAACAAGGAGGTCTTGCTGTTCTCTTCTTCCTCTTCCTTTTCTTCAGTTGAGTCATCCTGTAGTTGGCGCGAAGCGATTACCAAACAGTACAACACTGCTTCCAGTAATTTCCGGGTCAAAGGAGCAACCTTGGTGGCTAATTCCTTAAGCACTGCTTCCATCATGTTTGTGAAACCAACTTGCTTCCTTGCACCCAGCAACTCCTTCTCAAAGACCGACATTTGAATAGCTCCGTCCTTGACTAGATCCATATCTTTCAAATCACCAAGGGCAATATCTAAAAATCCTCCAACATCTTCAACACTCAGATTTCTTAACACTGTCAACCTTCTTGCCTCCATACCTTGCTTTCCACTTGCAGCACCCTTCCGAGAAATCGTGCGTCCATATAGCAATCTGAGAAGGATTGGCATAAGGGCTTCTCGATGTTCTGGTTGAACTAAGGTTTGACCTTGAAGAAGAATAGTAATCTCATCCTTAAACCGAGCTTCATCGAGCAAATTCAAGAGATTTTCCTGATAGGGTTTGACGCTCTTGTTTTTCCATGTCAAGACGGCCTTCAGAGCAGACTTCTGGGTTTCAATGTCACCATTCGCCAATAATCCCAAAAGTGCTTCGTGAACCTCATCTGCCTTGAAAATGGATCTTGGATTGACAAACAGGCCCAATACATCCAAGAGAGCCTTCTGGTCCTTCCTTGTCCAATCACTCACAACTGCTTCATCCTCCTCATTTGTCTGGTCAGCCTCTTCGGAGGTTTTGCTGGCCCAAGAAAGAAACATTGGAATTAGTTGTCGAGATCGTCTTTCTCCAATCATAGGAACTGCAGACAGAACACGTAGCGCTTGAGATCTAGCAGCGCTGGGCTGTGCGTCAACCAATTGTTGAGCGACCTCAAATTTTTGAAGCATAGTATCACGAGCATTGCGGACTTCCAAGTCTGTCTCTGTTGCAAGTTTGTCTAGATTATTGAGATTTGAGCATTCAAAGTCAGTTAACCCATTGTTTTGATCTCTCTCTATGGGGGCTGGAGGCCCACTCCATTTGACTGATGGTGTCTCCAACCATTTGAATGTCAAGACTGCAACTGCTTCCTCACCGACTTTGGATTCAGCGATCTGTTTTAGAGCAGCACTCGTATCTTCCCAAATCTGCGCCATCTTCACAGTAAGCATACCAAAACAGAATGATGGTATAGCATATTTCATCCAAGGTATCGCCATTTGTGAAGTATAGATTGAAGCCAGTTTTCGGATATGCATAGAAGCGGAACGAGCAGATTGGAGATCCAAGGGGGTTTGCTCGATCATAATCATGAGTGTAATTGCTTCCGAAGATACACCATGATCACTGTCATGAATATGTTCCAGGAGTCGTAGAGAAAGAAGGCGTAATTCGCTAGATTCGGATGAGAGATTCTCCACTAGAGATCGTACCAGTAGGTCAAATTCAGCTTCTGAATCGCTCGTATCCTCTTCCTCGTTCGATTTCCCCTCATCAGGTGTAGGGGACAATTTGAGGCTTGCTTTGTAACCTAGCAGTGCTTCTAAGAAATTTGGCAATCGAGCATACCGAGGAGCTGCTGCACGTAGTAATGGCTCCAATGCCCTGTCAACCTCACCAGCTCCTCTGGTCATACGAGAGAAGGAACTGAAACCTCGACCAACAATGAAATGAGCTTCCTCGGGCGCAAGTGAAGAAGATGGCCTGAGCGCAAGTTTGAGTTTGCGGAGTAGAATTTCTGCAATTCTTGCGTTTGTTGATGGGTGTACAGCAGTGCACTCTAAAATTTCTAACAGAGCATTATATTTAGGTAAGCATCGATCATGCCATGTTTTGGGACTGCGATTATAAGTAGCTGTTGACACTTGTTCAGGGAAAGGTTGTAATTCCAGCCGTTCGAATTTACTGACAATCTGGTCCTGCCAAGATTGAGGTAGTGAAAATGCATCCTTTCCATATCGACTCGGTAGTACCCCTGATGCTACCATCTTCGGTAATAACACACACAAGGTATCTCCGTTTTCAGCATCAGACCAATGTGTAACAATAAATCTAAGGTTTGGTTAGCATGCGATGTAGATATATGAATGAGTTAAACCAACCTTTGAAAGTAAGGTAACGCAATAGTTCGGAAGCGCTCAGGCTCTCCTTGCGACAAGTATGAGCAGAATGTCAAGAACCATTTTGCCAAAGGGTCCTTGGTAAGGGCATCCATGAAAGGAGAAATTAAAGGAATTGTGGAGTCCATTGGAGAATATGTTAGAGCAATTGCTGCACTCTCAATGAGGTATTTCCAAAGATCTAAATGTTTGTCATCGGCCGCGACTAAGGATGCGTTCCTAGAAACTGCTTTCAAAATATTAGATAATGCCTGTAACAAGGCTGGCCAATTCTGAACTCGTGAAGCTCGTCGAACACCAGCCACAATCCCTATTGTCCGGGCTGAGAGTAGGAGTTTGTTGAAACTATACATCGTCTTTGACTGCGTAAAGGAATCGGTAAGAGTATTTGCCTCTTCCAATACTAATTCTAGGATCTCCTTGAAAGTCTCCGGAGTGGTATGATGCACAATACTAGTGAGTACACCACATATAACATCTACCCATGGCGAAGCTTCCTTTTCCCCAAAATCACTCTCTTCGATTGCTAGGAAAAGTGACTTGAAGATCGCTGGACCAGACGTATGTACGGTTAGTCCGTTACCCTTCATAGCCTCGGCGAACAAGGTCATTATTCCATGATAGTAGAGGCCAAATTGTTTGGTGTCTGCGATACTCAAGAGATCCAATTTCGCGTGTCGCACGATCAATGGAAGGACCTTCTCTCTGTGAGCCGGTGCGCCAGCTTTTTTGATGAGAAAACTCATGGCCTCTGCTGCGAAACGGGCAATATGTGGAGGTTGACGATGTTTTCCAAGTAATGGTGCCATTAAATCGTATGTAGGGCGTAAATCTGGTACAATAAGTTTCGACAAATATTTGAACAGAAATGCTAGGCATGTAAAGCTCCATTCAATAACAGCGACATCCTGAGGGGTTCCTGCTATCGATGTAACCAATTCCAGTGCTTTTGCGTAGTGCTTTTCGAATCGAGGTCCCAGATCATGCGCAAAATCTGTAATTAACTCTAACAATGGCTCCAATGATTCCCTTTGCTTTCCTTCCATGTATTTAACGAAGAGGCCCATAATCTTGTCCTCGAAATGTAGAATCTGCGGTAAACTGTCGCATAGCGGGAGTACCTCCTCTGCGAAGGAAATGAATCCAGATGATAAATTGAGTTCGGTCCATTTCTCCAGACCGGCTTTGAAATAGGATGTAGTCGCAGAAGTATCTTCGGCATCGAGGTCATGTCGACGAACTCTTCGTAATGGGTCGAGGGAGTTTAATTTTGATATTTTCGTAGTAAAAGATTCCCATCGATGATTTTTCTGATGGGCAGTACCCTTCTTACCCTTACGGGTCTTAATTATCCTTCCGGAAGTTGTGACAGGCATCGTAGAGTTAAGTCGTCCCAAAGTCTACGATATCCGCTACAAACTCTGGATATCAGCATCAATATTCGCGAAAGGATGGAAACTTTTAATTTTTTTACTTCAAATTGGTTGACCGCCCGGCAGAAGATCCCACTTTGCCGCTTTTACATTAGCTTGACGCTAAGATATGAGCTTTCGAGCTTTCTTATCGAAAATCAAATCGCGTTCGCAAAAGATCTCTGAAAGTAAATATTAATATCATCTTTACTACTCTACTTGAGCTTCACAACAGCCTTTGGCTCTGCACGACTCGAATTATTTAAGGTCAAAATGGCATCCAAGATGTAAGTATTCTATCTGATAATACCAATGGGTAATACCTGATCTTTGAGCTTGTCAGCCATGATCGCATACAGCATGTTTCACTTTGTATTCTAACTAATCCATCGACAGAATTGTTCTCGGCGACGTGAATGGACATATACGAAATGCTTTTACCAAGTTAACATCTTTGCAACTCAAGAATAATTTTGCTCTCGCTATTGTGGCCGGAAACCTTTTCGCTGCAGCTGAAGACACAGAAGCCGACGACACAGTTACAGACCTGATTTCAGGAAAGATTCCTATACCATTACCTACATACTTCACCGTTGGATCGTCGCCTCTGCCGAAAAGAATTATTGAAAAGATTGAAAAAGATGAGGAGGTGTGTAGAATTTCTCCTCAATGGCCACAAAATTCGTTACTCATTGTCTTAGATATGTCCAAATCTGCATTATCTTGCAAAAAGAAGTACCACAAAGACTTCAGAAGGAATCAAAGTAGTTACGCTCGGCGGGCGACTCGACGAAAACATAATTGGAGGCTTATCTAATGAATCGTATCTACCTTTCCACACTGTTGGGGATGCGAAGGCTCTCCACGGAGCGGACACGGCGGATATTCTTCTGACGACGTGTTGGCCCAAATCCGTTCGAACAGGCTCAAAAATACCAATTCCCGATGATTCGCAGGAGCCCACCGCCGGCGATCATATCGCAGATCTATGCGCAGCTCTGAAACCTCGTTATCACTTTTCTGTGTCCCCAGATTATTTTTATGAGCGAGAACCTTTCTTTCATGCCCCAACTCCAGATGCTCCTGACTTTCGGCCTCTCACCCGATTCATATCTTTGGCGCCTCATGGCAATTCAAAGAAACAGAAGGCTTTATATGCATTTTCGTTACAAGCGACAGTTGATCCCCTAGCCCCATTACCCGCTGGTACCACGGCATCGCCATTTGTAGCTCGACCCAACGAGAGGAAACGAGGAGCCCTCGAGCCGGAACCTTATTCTAGGTATGGAGGGAATGATTATAAACGTGGCCGAGGACGTAGAGGTCAAAGGCAACCACCTCCAGGACCTGGTGAATGTTTCTTCTGCCTCTCGAATCCAAATTTGGCTACTCATCTTATCGCGTCCATCGGCAATGAAGCATATTTGACAATTGCGAAAGGTCCTTTAACCACAGCTACTACTAATGCTTCATTGGGTATTGACTTTCCAGCACATGCCCTAATTATTCCACTTGAACACTCTCCTACATTGGCCTTAGTACCAGAGGAGGATTCTAAACAAAGAACTTACGATGAAATGGTCAAATACAAAGAGGCTCTACAGAATATGATTGCGCAACGCAGTGAAAACAAATTGGGTGCTGTCACCTACGAAATCAGCAAAGGGAACGGCGTCCATACACATTGGCAATTGATTCCCATGCCTACTGAAACCATTCAGAAGGGTCTCGTCGAAGCGGCCTTCCGCGTTGAAGCTGAAAACCTCAAATATCCTCCTTTCGAGGTCAGAGATCCAGAAATCGGTCAGAATGATGGCGATTTTTTCCGTGTTTGGATTTGGACGCCTCCTAGCGAAGAAAATCTAAAAGGAACGTCAAAATGCATTACAATGCCATTTGATTGGAATGTGCGCTTCAACCTCCAGTTCGGTAGAACGGTTCTAGCTAAATTGTTAAGTTTGGAGAAGAGAATTCAGTGGAGAGATTGTGCTCAGACGGAGGATGAGGAGAAAAGTGATGCGGAGGCTTTCAAGGCGGCTTTTAAGGAGTTTGATTTTTCCCTTTAATCTTTATTCACATTTTTGATACCATAGGGTTGGGTGCATGCATAGTTGTGGAGTTTTGCATGTTTTTAAATCACCCCATGGACCTTTATATCTTTTCGTTATGGATGGATGACAAAATTTTCAGCTTCTTACATAGTTTCACGGCGACAGCATAAATGGCTGCATGGTTAGGTATGCATAAGTGGCGTTGGGGAAGAAACAACTTTTCATTTTCATAATCCATGAGATATTGATAGATAGATATGATAATCTTATGGCCATTATTCAATAATCGCCAACTTATATTCCTTAGAATAGCAGTCCAATCTGGTTCTTCCATCGTTCTTCATCTTGATATTAGGAGTTATATAGCGCATCACTCTCATCTATACTCCTCCATACCTCTTCTTGTCCTCCCCCTAATCCCTAGACCACCTTCCTTGTACATGATAATTATCCAATAATTACATAACGGATCAAGTTCTTTCCTTCCATTTAAATCATTTTATATATAATGTTCCTAGTATATTAATTAATATATACATACATATACACACACATATATATAACCACTCAGAAATCTATAAATACTAAATCAAAAATCCTCTCCCACCATCTAAGATACGCAGTTCCCTTGATTAACCCCTAAAAAATCCCCATCTGCAAATAAATATCTCCCTTCCCCGCTTCCCCTCCTTCATGTCCGCGCCATCTAATCACCTCGCATTACTGTATAAACATAAATTTGAATCCCTCCTCCAAACCTCTATCTCCGTCTACATATCCATTTCCATCCTCTCTCGAGTCCCAGCCCAATTTCATCCCATCCAATAACTTCAAAACCCATTCATTTTCATTTTCCTCTTTTATCTCCTCAATCTCCCACCATCATATTTTCTGCTGGCTTTTGGAAGCATGTTGTAGGAATTTTGGATTTGCGTTTTTGTTTTTGCTTTTGTTTTTAGATATAAATGGTCGGAATTGAGATTGAATAAGAGATTCCAACTATAAATAGCTAGATAAAGCGGGGTATGTAAAGTAAGGAGACGGTTGTGAAGAGGAAGTAGGGGCCGTAGGTTCTTGTGTCCCTTTTTAGTGCTGGAGAGAGGTTTGGCAGGGGGTTGAGGGGAGATGGTGGATGGTGGCTCATGGGGTTCCTTGAGATGACGGAGGACGCGATGTTGATGCCGATATATGGAATTGGTAGAGTGTAGATGGTGTTTAGGACTTTAGTGGAGATGATGGATGTTGGAGAAGATGGGGATGTGTTAGGGAGGAATTAAGACAAGGGAAAAGTTCAGTGGAGTAGTAGAATTACTGGTTAAATGTGAGGTTTAGATTTATGTCTTCTTTGTAAATGATAATCAGATGAATGGAGAGATTTAATAATTCATCGTTAACCATATCTAAATCATGAGGAAACCAGTGAGGATATATTCACTTCCGAAACTAGTGACATACACTCCTTCTGTACAGTAGATCACTTGCTACCGTTACAGATATCTCAATGTGGCAAGCTTGGGTCTTAGTGCTCGCGGTAACTATACTCAATTGCAAGAGACAAATCCGGAATCGAGTTCCATTTCCCCGCAGAAAGTAGACTGCGTTCCATTCAAGCTCGTGTAGAGCGACAATTAGAAGAAGCAGCAATCTAGTTCCCTTTCCCATGCGGCCATGCCCTGGATGCACAGCAAAAACAAAAATCAATGCCTTGTACCTGGTTCTGTTGCAATGATACTCGTGTGATATTTCGAGAGAATCCAGCTAATTGACTTCTAAACAACTCAAACTTGCAACAAATGTAGAGAATCGTCCATCTCATTGGATTCCACCTAACTCAGACGTGCAATACAAGTTTCCAGTGAAGCCGTCTAATTGACTCTAGTCAATTCAGACATGCAATTAAAGTTTAAGAATAATTATTCAATTAACTTCTCACCAACTAAGATATGTGATGTGAAAAAACCTCAAGAGCAGTAAAAGATTGGCTGAAAGAGACCGCTATACCTTGATAACTAGCACCTTACAGTAGGAAGTTGGACCTGTATTGAGAATGCTCTGCCATCTTAGAGAGAATGTATTTATGTAATCACAGTTATGGCTTTCATTTTTCCAACTTTTGTGGCATAAAAAAATGTTGCTGTCCAAAGTCGCATGTGGTGGATTCATATAGAAACCTAGTGTTTGTAAAAGTGAGTTTGTTGGGATATGACATCGAATTTTTCCATTCATTTGTATATTTGACTGCTTTGACCCCCGATTTTTTAACATGGCTTTGAAAATAAGATGTCAAGTTAAACATTTCAGATGACTGAAAAGAATGTGGTAGAGATGAGGTGTAAAGGTGTAAAGGTGTATGAAGACGTGAAGGAAGACCCGTCTTCGCTTGGGTGGTGGGGAGATGAGGCGATTAAATACACTTATTTGAGCTACCGAAGTCGATTGTTCGAAATTCCTTGCATCGCGGAGAAGATTTCATGTTTGCATTCTCTTTGGTCGGCATTATCTGGATAGATCGTTGTGAAGAATCAAAGCTCCTGAGCCTATTCTCGCCTCGAACGACAACAATTGCCTCCCCAGCTAGTTACAATTGCTACAACTCTGTGTAGTCAGTTTGTCCGCAGATAGACTTGCCGATAGCTGCGATTTCGATACACGAGTGAATGACTGATACACGAAATCGCTCATTCACTCGCCGCAAAGATGAACACTGCTCATAAAACAAACTTCAGTCAGTGGTGGGGCAAAAGCAGATAAACAACAATAACAACAAACACTATTTATTGTTTGAAACACCAGAGGTGATCAAGGTTCAAAAATAAAATACAATATCTGGGCAAGATATTGAAGCAAAAAGAAGTTCAATTGTCCTCGGTGAGACTCGAACTCACGACCTTTGGATGGCTAAAGTAGTTGTTATCAACCACCTCATATAGTAATATGAGACCAACGCTCTAACCAACTGAGCCACGAAGACTTGCTATTGAATTTATGTGCTTATGTGTCTCCTATTTAATAATATAAATTAGACATGGTGGGGTGTGAAGAGTTTTCTTGTTTGCTTATTTTAGCTCGCTACACTTGCATGAGTCGGGTTACAAACCGGCGGGCATTGCTCCGCATGTATGTCTCCACCTGAGACAATCAGTTTGGCTAATTGTGAGATCTTATGTTCACCAATCACTTTCGAGGCCGGTTTTTGGTCTCCCTGATGCCTAGAATGTTGGCATTCTTACATCCTCATATTAGACTCACCAGAGAGCCAAAAGGTTTGTGGAATGATCCGATGTCATGAATTTCCAAGCCCTGAACCGTTGAATGGAAGCGGAGGTCAAGAATCTATAATAGGTATAGCTTCTCTGCCCCACAAACATCGAATTAGCTTCAAAATGAAGAACTTCAAAAGTATCTCAATTTCACTTGACAATACTGTCCGTGAAAGGACACGTCCTAGTATACTATCTGGAAGGCTTACATATGATATACACAGCTTCAAAATGATACAACATTTCTCAAAAAGCAATATGAAGGCGTTATTTAATGAAATATTGAAAGCTGAAAACATTTTTTACCCTTCATTTACATCACTAAGCGAACAACCTCGGACATTTCATTTTGGAGGCAAGAATACCACCAGTACTGAATAGTCTAATATGATTTGCTACAAAGTCAATTTTTCCAGGTACTAAAGTCAAATCCATGGACGTGACTAGATTTTGATATTCTGGTTGGTAGAAACGAGAATGCATCTTTAATGATGTTCCGAGCCTTCATGGAACGAAAAGATTGATGCGGCATGCTGCTTTTGGTATCATTCACGTGTTTCTTGTCTTGGCAAGAGATTTGATTCGAATCGGCTCAATGTCGGTTGCACATTTCTATCATTTCATTTCCAAACAACTCGGTGCGCCGCTTCGAATTCCTTTTTTTGGCCTCAACATTCATGACATGGAAAAGCTTCCAGGAGTCTCAACTTCTCGTGATGATCACAGGATTACCTGACATGGGATCAAATAAAATGACCAACCATACTTCTGGGTACTTTACCCGATCTCACCTATGCATACATTGGATGCATTGGATGCACAATCACAAATGACCGTCGGATACCCCGCCAAGTGAGGGGAAAGCGATTCATTATTCCGGAATCATGATACCTCAGTATGGTAACAAACCGTCCCAAGTGTTGATCGATCATAATGTCGGACCGATTATAATTCAAAATCGAGTGTTTCTGTTGGACCTTGGTGCAGCTTGGGAACAAGTTCATCCGTTGAACCATTCAGATGGACGGAACCAAAGTAAAATCTAGCCTCAGAGCCAAACCCCAGGAAACCCAGACTTTTGGGCCTGGTAAATACCAGGGTTTTAGCTTTACATAACAATCTGGGGAAAGCTAAATGAATTTAGCGTTTGTAGCTCTCCAATTTCCCTACAGTATGCACATGAAGCTATAGCTGGTCTGGGTAAGCCAAGGAATATGCATAATGCCGTGTGAAATTACCACGATGCACGAAAGTCCAATTACAATATGGTTCATATGCAGAGGAGACTTTTTTTATTACCCTCACGATTCACCAAAGCCATCGCAATTACCCTCAAAATTCACTACAAATCCCCGCCATTTCCCCAGAATTTGAAACCCCAACAATTTTTTCCTTTCTCCCTCTTTCATCCTCAGTAGCTCTCAAGCAATTACTACAATAATGAGGTCTTCATTGTTAATTGTATCAGTTGCGATCTTTGCAACTTCTACCTTTGCTCAGAATGATGGAGACTTAACTCCTCCCAGTTATCCATCTCCATGGATGAATGGCAATGGAGATTGGGCAGAGGCATATGCTAAAGCAAAGAGATTCGTAAGCCAGCTTACCCTTCTTGAGAAAGTCAACTTGACCACCGGTGTTGGTTGGGAAGGCGAAGCTTGTGTGGGAAATACTGGTGCAATCCCTCGACTTAATTTTCCGGGACTTTGTTTACAAGATTCTCCTCTCGGTATTCGATTCAGTAAGTTCTCATTTATGCCAGAGACTTTATTATAACTGACGGATGATGATTAGCTGATTACAATTCTGCTTTCCCTTCGGGAATGAATGCTGCTGCAACATGGAGTTATGATTTAATGAACGCTCGAGGTATTGCTATGGGAAAGGAGCATCGAGGAAAGGGTATAGATGTTCAATTGGGTCCTGTAGCAGGTATTTATATCCTATATTTCACTAGGTTTTGATGTTAATTAATTTGGACTAGGCCCCCTCGGAAGAGCACCGGCAGGTGGAAGAAACTGGGAAGGTTTCAGTCCAGATCCCGTTCTTACAGGAATTGGAATGATGGCAACAATTGAAGGAATTCGTAAGACTATCCTTCTTTTATCCTTTCTCTCTTTTTGCCACGTTCAAAGTTATCACATCATCTCAGCATATCTTGTTTCACGATAAAAAAAAAACTTGTATATGTTAATAGTTCCATCAAAATAACTGCTAACTGCTTGGCTTCATAGAGGATGCTGGAGTCATCGCTTGTGCAAAGCATTTTATCATGAATGAACAAGAGCATTTCAGAGAACCTGGTAACTCAAACGCTGCATACTCTGCAAATTTGGACGACAAGACAATGCACGAACTTTACTTATGGTGAGTGACACGTACCTTGTCGCCGAAATTTGCTAATAATTTTGTAGGCCATTTGCCGATGCCGTCAGAGCTGGAGCCGGTGCAGTCATGTGCTCGTACAATCGTATTAATCAAACTTATGGATCCGAGAATTCCTGGACCCTCAATTACTTATTGAAAAATGAATTAGACTTTCAAGGTTTTGGTATGTATTTTGACCTAATTATGAATTTAATGCTAACTTCACTCGATAGTCGTGAGTGATTGGTGGGCACAGCATAATGGCATTGCCAGTGCATTGGGTGGACTTGAGTAAGCTTTACATATTTCAAAAGAATAACCTAAACTAACTGTTTGTCAGTATGACCATGGCTGGAGATCAAAACCTTGCTTCAGGTAACACATATTGGGGCACTTGGCTCACCAATGCTGTCCTTAATGGCACAATCCCTCAATGGCGCCTTGATGACATGGTTGTTCGCATCATGTCAGCATACTACAAGGTTGGCAGAGATACTGCTAAGGTTCCAGTAAACTTCAATTCATGGAATCTTAGCACATACGGCTACCAGCATCCACTTGCGAACGAAGGCTTTACACAAATTAACGAACATGTCAATGTCCAAGATGATCATGCCTCGCTAATCCGAGAAATTGGTGCCAAATCGACCGTTCTCTTGAAGAACACAAAAGGTGCATTACCATTGCGTAATCCGAAGAGCATAGCAATTATCGGAGAAGACGCCCATGATAACCCGGGTGGCCCAAATGCCTGTGGAGATCGTGGTTGCAATATTGGCACACTTGCTATGGTATGTATCACCTTTGACCAGGTACTTATGGAACTTGTTAACCAGTGCTCATTTTTAGGGCTGGGGTTCCGGTACCGCAAACTTTCCGTATTTAATATCTCCCGTTACAGCATTGAAAGCAAAAGCAGCAGAAGGTTATGGTCAAACAACTGTCAGGAATGTCAGCAACAATTATAACTTTGCTGCTGTCGCCGAAGCAGTAAAAGGAGCTTCTGTTGCAATAGTATTCGCCAACGCTAACGGCGGAGAAGCTTTTATTACCGTCGATGGAAATCACGGAGACCGAAACAATCTGACCTTATGGGGTAATGGAGATGCTCTTATTGATTATGTTGCATCTATCCACGAAAACACAGTGGTTGTCCTTCACACGATCGGACCCGTGATTGTTGAAGCATACAAGAATCACCCCAATGTAACCGCCATTCTTTGGGCCGGTTTACCTGGTCAAGAATCCGGAAATTCTCTCACGGACGTCTTATACGGTGAAGTAAATCCACAAGCAAAATCTGTCTTCACATGGGGAAAAACTCGCGAAGATTACGGAACAGACGTCGAATATACCATCTCCACTCCAGATCCCCAATTGAATTTTAAAGAGGGTGTATTTGTTGATTACCGTCACTTCGACGCCGCAAATATTGAGCCATCCTACGAATTCGGTTTCGGCCTCTCATACACCACATTCTCATACTCTAATCTGCACATCCAACCTCATCACGCTTCTACTTATAAGCCAACACGAGGTAGAACATTATCTGCTCCAACATTCGGTACAATCAACTATAATGCATCGGCAGCGCAGTTCCCGCCAGGATTCCATAAAGTTCCTGGTTACATCTATCCATATCTTGAGGGCCCATTGGTCGCAAATCAAAGTGTTGAACTCCCTCTACACTCAACAGATAGCTCACCACAACCACTCCTCGCAGCTGGTGGTGAACCAGGTGGTAATCCGGGCTTGTATGATGTGCTTTACACCGTAACTGCCAAAATTACCAACACCGGTAAGATACCTGGAACAGAAATTCCTCAACTTGTAAGTCGCTCCTTTCTTCCCCCAATTTCTCCCACCGTCACCAAACCCCACGCTAACCACACATAAACAGTACATATCCCTCGGCGGTCCCACCGACCCCAAAATCGTCCTCCGAGGCTTCGACGACATGGAGCTCGAACCCCACGAATCCGATACCTTCAAATACGAAATCACCAGACGCGATATCAGTAATTGGGATCCGGTAACTCAAAATTGGGTTATTACTGAGTATCCCAAGACGGTGTATGTGGGTAGTTCGAGTAGGTATTTGGTTTTGAGTGGGACTTTGCTGTAGTAGCGTTTGCCAGGTATTGGTATAGGATAATGGGGTATTGGGATTGCTTCCTGCTTGGATGCATGTGGCTCATAATGGGGTTGATGCGGTATGTGTGGTACTCGGTTAGTGAGGTCTTTTAGTTTAGGTCATATTTTAAAACAAAATTGGATACGGGTAAAATGGGCAAGATGATATTGAAATATTATCTGATAAATTCTCATACCGATATGGAACATTCAGAATTTCATATTAACCAGTGAGGTCCTCTTCACGATGAACAAAATAGCTTGGGCTTTGTGCTTCATGCTTCAAGTGGAGCTCATATCTTTATTTTATGGTGCTTTTTGAGTGGAAAGTGGAAATGATCATGGGAAAGTCTGTGGTGGTATAAAGATGCATTTTCAGAAAATATTCAACGCTGTTCTCATTTCGCATATCTCGCTCTAACACCTATTATTGATACCAACCAATCTCAAGAAATAAGCCATGAGACCATGACCCTAGACTAACCCTATCACAATACTCGCTGACCTATACCAGGTAACCCCCCAAAAAATTAACCCAACAACACTATCCATTCTCCGCTTCCAATCCTGCTCTTGTTCACCTCACCCTTCCTCATCATCACCTCACCTCTCATTCCTCACTCTATTCTCCCTTCTCCGCGGCGGTCTCAAAAACTCCATTGAAGCTTTTGGACGAAACTTCCTGGTATCCACATAAGACTGCGGTCCAGGTAACTGAAACCAATTTAATGGATTTATCCGGTACCATATCAATAATCCGATCATCACCACCAAAAGAGAAGCGATAAATTGTCCAACCCTGTCGAAGAGGAGAAATCTTCCCATGTGTTTAGATGCTTGCATTCCCCATAGTAATAACATCCCTATGCAGGTGGGAAGAAACATGATAATCGCCGTACGATTCTGGTAACAGAGAGTAATGATCCAGATGGTAGAATTAATAATGCTCCTTAGAGAACTGGATGCAGATGCTAGTTTTCTTCCTATCTTTCTGCGACATTGGATGTATTTTCTGGTGATTCGAGGACGTAGTGCTAGATCTCCGTATCTTGTACTAATAATTTTGCGGATCGACCTGAATGCAGCACACCATCCTTCGACGTACCATCTGAGGGTTATATTTTGTTCTTTATAGGTCCAGATACACAGAGCTTGGAGCAACCTCAAGGATAGGTAGGCCTGGAGTAGTGAATCTACAATTAGTGTGATTAAATACCGTGTGGCACCAGTGAAAAATGCTTTTAGTATCGATTTGATACCAGTACATAATGCCTCCAGTCTCGATTCGACACTACTACACACGGCCTCTTTTACCCGTGTCCATGTGATATGCAGTACCTTTAATCTCCATGAGACACCATTACGCAGTGCTTCTGCAATTAGCCTGGCAGAAGAAAGTGGTTTCGATACTACTCGTTTGAAGCTGGCAATAAATCCAGCATCAAAAATCCGTATCTTTGTATTTCCCCCAGGGCCCAGCTTCGTCTTCAAGTCGTTGCCCCTCATAACCCTACTGGATTTTACAACCAAGTTCTGTTCCATAGCATCTCTATCAAAAGGCCCACCATCCCAGAGTGAAATGAAGATTGTGCCTTCTAAGAGGCGAAAACCCGAATCAATTTGATTATAATTTTTGATACTGTTGGCTGGTCTGGGTAAGTGGAATCTGCATCCTAGGCCAACGCCTGTTATGGACCGGTGGTAAAGATAACAGAAGAAAATAAACAGGGCTAATATAGGAAGGCTTAAAATGAGGAGAACTTTGATGAGGAAATCGGGATAAAGTAACTTGAGGAAGTTTATGAATAGGGAAAAAAGTTTTAGGAAGTTCTGAGGTTTGAAGATGACGCTAAAGCTTTTCAAAACGGACTTGAGATTTGATAAAGCTGATAATAGCCTCTCAGGCAGTGTGGGGACAGAGTAACATAGATGCGTCTCGTTGCCATTCTCAAGTAGGGCGGCTGGTTCCATTTTGATGGAGTCGGAGAGATAACTAGGGTTATACAGTTAGCATGATATTCGCTTCTGCTCATGAATATTCATATCACAGGTGTGGTGAAGATTTATTAGAAGTCATCTTGATGGGGCTAAATGTAGTAAGTGCAGTGAAAAGACACCGAATATCATGTTTGGACGGCTCAATTGATGCAGCGATTGTATAACTCGGAATACGTACATTGGCTTTTTTTCTTCTTCTTATTTTTTCCTGTTAACCCATATAAAGATTCAGTAGATTGTGCTGTGTACACTATCGATACAGAAATATTATAATGTAATATATATTTTTTACCAAAAACGACCGTGGCTGATGGCGATGTCAAGGGGAATAATTACTTTTCAAGGAAGAAAACTAGCAAGAGAATCATTGAAATATTTTATGACATTATAAGGTAGTTCTTTCCTCACTAATGCTATGTAGATACATGAATGTTCCTACCACTGTGAAAACCGAAACAGATAGAGAATAGGAAATTTAAAAAGGAAAAACCTAAATGGAAAGGAATACCACGTCTCCATATAACATGACCACTGCAAAATCAAAGCAACCGTAACCCTGTCCAGTCCATCATCCTTCATTCATACCACCACAATTCCTATTCCCTAGCAAATGAACACCGTCATAATATTCCATGCCTTTTCTCAAAACCTTAACCATATTTATGAAACAAACCTCCATATCTATCATGTCCAAAGCCGCCACCAGCTCCCTCCACTTCGTGCCTATCTAGTAGCCATAATGACATACTCAAACTCAGCAACTCTCATGCAGCGAATCTCAAGCCCGATAGTAGAGTGCAGTAGGAGTATTCCATTGCGGACAAACCGGACGTAATTGCTTTCGTGCCTTTTCGCGTGGCGCAAATTTAGCTAGACGGCGTACGCGTCTTGGTTCTGGCGGTGGGGTGCTACGACGGAGAAGTGGACCGCCATTGTTACTTTCAATGTAGATAAGTCTTTGCTGAATGTCACTTGATTGAGCAGGCGGATCTGGAACGTATTCAGGATTTTCTTGTTTGTCATTGAAAATGTGCTGTCCGTCAGGCCCATAGTAATTTCCATCATGACCAAGATATCCTGGTTCCTCCCATGACTTTTGACTGTCATTGGGGTTTTCTTGGCCGGTTTGGGCAAGCATACATGGAGGTGATGGACTTCTGGAGATCTTTGTTGTTTATTAGCACTAAAATTCTAATGATCAGGGATTTGGGGAACTTACCACTGATATTGATCGAAGTCGCTTTCTGCCGTGCTGTCCATCAGCTTCTTCATCCTCGGTGTAGTCCCCGAAAGCACGCTTTCTGGAATGACTGTCCTCAGACATCTCGTTGGCCGCGGAGCCATTTTGAATAACCTCGAGGGGATTTGGTATTGGTACCATCCAGTTCTGAATAAAATCGTAATTATCCACCAATGGATTAGCTGTCTGCTCTGCCTCATCTGAAAATCTCTTCTTAATATCCAGGGAAAATTTCTTCTCGGCGAATGCTCTCTTATTTTGATCCCGTGAGTACAAAGCGTAAAATCGGCCTTCTGCTCCTTCATATTCTACTTCATTGTGGTAGCTGTTGTAGTCGGCCCATTGTTGTTGGCCATTTGGTATCATCACAATCCCGTCTTCCCCAGAGTAAGCCTGAAATTCCTGAACTCTGTTAGGTTGGTAGATCTGTTGATAACGTGCATAAATGTTGCTTGCTTCAACAATCATTTGCCCTTCTCCCTGTAAGATGATCTGTTGAGTAATGAACGAATGTTTGTAGTTTTCCTGTTGTAATTTCTTAATCTCATGTTCAAGCTCTTGAATCCTAAGTTGCTGCTCATTGGAAAGATCCTGCATCCCATAGTTAAGATTCTCGAGTCGTTTTTGTTTTCTTAAGCCCCAGCGAACACGATCTTCCATTACTAGACGGTCCGCAATTATTTCACTATGCTCTGCTAGTGACTTTTGGTTTGCATGCCATTTGTTTTCAATAGCAATAAATTGCATTTCGAGTCCCTTGAATTCGACCATGTATTCCCTCTCCAAAAGTCCTTGGGTCCTCGTGATCTCATTCAATCTACTGGTATACCAGATTCTGACCTTTTTGAGATCTGCATCTGTGCGACGGTTTTCGGGGCGAGATGCTTGGTTAATAGCCTCATCGAATCGGGAAAGGATGGAAATGAACTTCCTATCCTCCTCTTTGATAGCATTTGAATGATTAGTCTGTAGATTACCGAGAGCTTCTTCGATTCTGAAAAGTTCTTGGAGGTTCGGATCATGTTCTTCAAAAGGAGTTTGTTCTTGATAATAGAAAGCCGAAATCTTCTGTTGTAGGACAATAGCTGGAAGCTCCGGGTTATGGTTCTTCTCTGGATTGGAGACATATGTGTGTAGCTCCTAGGGAAGTATTAGCGACAGACAAATACAATCCTGATGATCATGGGATTAACATGCATTCCACTGCATCATGTCAACATCATGACTTTCTAAAGCATCCTCGAATAGCTCTTCAGGAGCATCAAACCACACGTCGTCATCGTTGTCAGCGGATGTGTTATTTGGGTTGATAGTGGTAGACATGATGACAATATGTAATTCCTCAAGGGATAGAGTGTGATAAATCTCACGATGGATGTTGTGAAGAAAATTTATGAAGTATTAAGTAGGTTCTCCCGGTTACCAGGGTCAATCAATGCTGGGAAAGATTGTTGTTGAGAGCCAGAATTACTTTTGGGGGAGAAGTTTCTCTTATGTTGTGTGAGAACCAGTTTGCTCTACGGTATCTAGCCAGTACAGCCACCTTAACTGTTCGCATGTTATAAGTGGCAGTTTGAAGTGTCGTAACATTTGATACGGTCGATACAATCATTATTAACAAATACCTAACGCTAAGCACAATGGAGGTCCCGTACCGCCCATAACCTATAGCAGTGGTGGTTGTGCGGTGATTCACTGTTTTTGTTTCAACATTATTGTTGCTTTATAACTGGTATCGCTTGTTTTAGGAGAAAGATCATTAAGATGGGTTTGGCTGTCTGAAGTAAATAAATATGAAGAAAAGAAAGATTGGTCAGTAGAGAAGGACTGAAATCTTGAGAACTACCGTTGTAATGGCCTATTGAAACTATACTCCTCTGTATGGAATAAATGGTGAATGCGAATATTCATTTGCTATGTTTATGATTGTGTACGGTGACATTTACCATTTATAGTGAACATGCGCCAAACGTATGTAATGGAGGTCATAGAATTAGCTAATGGAGGGCTCGTGACCTATGCTTCACTGTCTACCGTACGTTTGTTGACCTTCTCACACTCCTTGAGCCTGCGTTTAGAGGTCACGCGGGGGGTTCTCATAAATACCAAGTTCTCTGTTAAATACCTGTCCCCGAATCCCACGTGTTTCCAACCCGTGAATTCACTTCGCCTGCCGCCACATTCTTCTTGCTTGCTGATTGACCTCCACCCCGAGCTCAGGTACTCGAAGTCTCTCTTCTTGCAGCCATCTCAAATAAGCATCTCTAGTATTCCAAATCTGACCTCGATGATGTGTCTCTGGGATAAATGCATCATGATCAACCTTAAAATGGAATTTAAGATTTTCAACTTGATATCTTTACATATCTTTCCCGCTGCTCAATCACACAATCAAATCTTCTATCATAATCCCCGAAGTACCATTATGCAAGCGCCGCAAGTTTCAATGGCTTGCCTGAAGTTTCTGCACTCGAGTTTAAAGTCAATGCTTATCTCCTTTAAGACCACTCATTCTCCCTTCCAGATGAGCTTGTCTCTTCAATGCGTCATCCAGACGACATTTTATATCAAGCTTCTACACACGCTATTGTTGTAATGTAAGTTGTGCGCCAATTCCTTCGATCCACTTTGCTCCAATTGCCTTTCCTTCTTTTGCAATATCTACATCGCGTCAATACGCCCTCTCCCAAGGCGTTCCTTTTGTTCTGGGAAATGCATTGATTTTATCCACGATCAAGTCCCTCTTCCTCTCGCAATCGGAGCCGGTACAGACATCATCTAGCTCCTATAATGTATCTTAGACGACCGAGAGCTTTTTGATCAGCCTGCCAATCATATGCGCTCTTCCAAGTTACTTCTCCGTTCGTGATCCTCCTGTAAATCGACAAGTTGTTCCCCAAGATGCTTGATTTGAATGTATTCCGCGGCATCACTACGGAAATCCTCTCGAAGATTACGTTATGCAGGGTTACTATAGATAAGACTGGAGAAAAACTTTATTCTAGGCGGATAACAAATTTGTTTATCTTTAAACCCGTTAAAAACTTTGATTCTCATGAGGTAAATATCAAAAATTTGAAGCTACTTAAAGACAACTCAAAAAAGTACATCTTATTCTTCCAGGAAATCAAAGTATTCCTCGATTTCTTGCTCTGATTAACCGGCGGGCTGGTCGTAAGATTACCATGTATCCCCGTCCCCAAAGATGTAATCAGGGTGGCAAGAAGATTCCATAATGTCAGAAAAAGACGGGGAAACCCTCGTGGACGGCATCAGAACTTGCTTGTGTGATTGTGCATTGTACAATATCTGTTCAGAAAGGCCTATAAAACTCTACTTGATCTTCTTAGTGAAATTATTCTAAGTCTTAGGATATTAAAATCGCGATGTCGGAATCTTGAAAATTGTCCTATTATCACGCTTTTGTGATTTTCGTAATTTCTCTACCATACTTTTCAAACTGTGGCTTCCATACAGAGTAATCAGTGCAGCAATACAGCAGCCTTTTTGATCGGAGGGCTCATTTCCATTATAGTTGTAACACTACATTTTTCGCTTGAACAATATCCAGCACACCTATTCTCCATCTGGACTAGTTTATTATATTAATATTACAGCTCGCTTATTTCAGGAGGACTTTTTGGAACTTCGGAAGGGAAGTGAAAGCAAGTGGGATGCGGAGTATTAATTAACTGACAGTGGGACGAAAGGAAGCTAAGTCTTACTTTGAGATGGAGATTGAAACTCAGATTTTAATTCTTTTGTGGTGAGTTTCGGGTGTGTGGGATTTCGGTAGATGCAGTAAGATCGATCTTGTCTTCGACTTTTTTGTGGCATCCTTTCATGGAGATTTAGAAGGTAGAGGGGTGGTAGGTAGTAAGATTCATTTCGGCGGTTGCTTATCTCGAATACTATAAATACATTTACATTTAGTGAATAATAGTAAAACTCCAAGACGATAACTCGAATCGTGTGAATACGTACGTACGAAATTTATCAAAAATGATTTATTGCTTTAATTATGGGGTGATTAGCTGTAGAAAATATAGAGTCCTATTTGCTCATCGTTGCATAAACTCTCAATTGTTTTTCTGCTAGTCTGAATCAAACACCTGATTTATTTATACTCTTGGAGCTTGAGTCAACTGATTTTACAAGCTAAGTACCTAGTATGATGTAAGAATATGTTTAAGCTTAAATTTATAATACGATCATTATTAAAAGATTGGGTGGAAGAGGCCTCTATATTGACTATATTACTACGTGTGTAGGCATATTAAGATCTCCTCTTGGTATCCTCGGAGGGGACCAATATGCCTGCTTATGGTTCGTCTAATCTAGCCTGTTTAGGTAACCGTATTACTAATCACGACACGTGATTAGTACCGGTAACTTCTATTCCTTTTAACAATCATGATAATTTCATCGATAACTTATAAGATTAATATTTCCAGCATCGTGATACAATAAAATTAAAACGAGTCTTGGAATATGACATAATTACATAATGATACCTCTAATAAGAGCCTAGAGCGTAAATACGAATCCGAAAGAGATCTCAGATCTTTCTACTGTTTATTTCACTTCACTATTCTATTTAGTTTAAGTCTAGGGATCAGAATACTAATCTTTTTGTGATAATTGGTACTTATTGAGCTCTAAGTAAAGAGTTCGGATGGCTGTGAGATATATAAAGTAATCAAAAACGATCGGAAATCAGAGGATATGTTTATCCCCTGTGACATTATACTAATATCTATTCTTCTACATTACTAAGTAGAAGGAACAATTAACATGGTAAATCTAATTATAGGACGACTCTTATACTAACTATCTAGACATTGCGGAAATGGATTCCAGATCTTGCGGAGAGACTTAGCATTTCGTATAAAGTGCTTAAGGTACAGAAAGTTGGTTCCTCCCCCCCTCCCCACCCTCCAGCGGCCATTGCAGTACAAATTATTCTCGGCAGAGAAGACTATAGTCCTCCTAATAATGATATCAGTACATATAGCAAGGAAATCCACAAGGGAGAATACCCACATCCAAACAGTAACTACGCTGCTGCACTAAAATCCTCACCCACCAATAAGACCCCTCCGCGCCTTCCCCATCAACACCACTAGCCAATTCCCTCTCATAACTTCCACGTTCACACCTCCCAAAAGCAATCAATGTAAAGGTAAACCACATCAGAAATTCAAAGCCGCAAAAGTAGTATTCATATATCCCTCCAATAAGGCACACACTCCTTAAACTCGCGCGTGCCAGAGCACCTTCCACAGGGACTTTTACGATCACACAACTTTCTCATCTTCAAACAAGACGAACAACGAGGTGGTGGCTTAGGGCCAAATCGTAGTCCAGACAGAGGTGATGATGCTGTTTTGGTACGTTTAGGAGGAGGCTTTAATGAGCTGAGAGGTGATGATGCTTCTATTCTCGCGATTATTTCGGTATTGGGAAATGCTTCTGTGTTGTATAGTTGTGCTTTATTGGATTTTGAGTTGGTTTTTGCTGGAGATGGTGTTGCGGGTCTTTTATTATTCGGCATACGTGGTACCCACTTCTTGTCTTTAGGTTTGCCCTGGACTGAGGTTTCCCCCGAAGGAAGTTGCGGGTTCTGTTCTTCGATTTCCTTCACTCGCGGAGTAGGAGCCATCTGGTAGCCCATCTCTACATAATAACTGGTGATCGTCATGTGCTGCGGGAGGGCGGTCACTGTTTTGCGCCAGTGTTCCTCATCTTCTTCTTCCTCTTGAGTAGTAAGTCGACGGAATACAGTTCCACCATCACTATTGTAGTTGCCATATTTGTCATCATCAACCTCATCTTCCATTTCATCAACCTCGGAATTCGTACCATTCTCAACAACGAGATCCTTGCCCCATTTCTTCGAAGCTATTGGCACACCCGTATCCTTGTGAAGCTCTTTAATTTTATCGTTAAAACTGGTGAACGAATCACGAATAAAGCTAATATTCTCCTCGGCAACCTTTCCTTCATATTTTTGCTTAATTAGTTGCTCAAGAAGCTGGCCGCGTCGATCTTCTGCTTTGGCTTGATTCGCCGCCGAGGAAAAGTTAAGTGAGTGGAATCGCGGTACTACTTCTGATAATCTGTGTATGGGATTGCTGGGTCGGTCTGTTGTTTGACTGAAGGTACGGCTCGAGGATTTCATTTTAAGGGAAGACGAATAAGTTGTGCTTAGTAGCTCTTTGATGTGAAAGCCGTGATTTAAAGGTCTTAGAGGATGTCTAACTAGTCTTGCAAACTGGTCAGAAGAAGTGCATTGTTTTTCTTTTTCTTTTTCTTTTTCTTTTTGTTGTTGTTGTTGTTGTTGTTGTTGAGGGAAAATTAAAATATTTAAGTAGTCGATGTAATCTTAACAACAATATTAAATGCATCACAGCAAAAATGTATTCACTTTTGAGAATCTATTGTCCCGAGTGTTGTAGTTCAAATCAAGACTTGTAAAAAATGCAAATATATTACCGTAGGTATGAACAGAGAACCGAATACGAAAATGATGGTAATTACTGGAGTATGCTAGTGAACTAGTCTATGTATCTCGAAGAAAGTCGTAGTTTCCTTAACTTGTGGATGTATCATGATGACCTATGGGGAAAATCTGACCACGGCCTTATTGATATCATCTGATATCTTATGATGATATGGTTTCAGAAAAAGAAGTTTCTTTAACCTCTAGATATTTACTTATTCTATGAGTTCACCGCAGCTTCCAGAGTGAATAAAAGTCTGTAATCTCTTCTCTACTTTCATTCTTGAGCACTATGGGTAATCTATCTATGATATTTTTAACAATATGTTGTCTTAAAAAGCACAAGACATACATCATTCTTCATCCAATGTCTTCCCGGCACACAAATGCTATGTTAAGTTCGAGTGCTGTTGGGGGGAATGTGGCCTCCTCGGGACGGTACACTTCAAAATTAGCTGGATGTATAAAGCAGTGGAACTATAAACTGTGGATCAAACCGCCTAAGACTTTCATCTCTGTCTCAAGAGATTTATTTTCAAACTCCAAACCTTAGCCCATGGGTGAAGTGAGTTTTAATGGCAGGTAACAAACCAGGAATGGTTACTCCTTGGATGATGAATAAGTGAGTTCCCTAAGAATCGGTAGCACTTTAGCGATTGACAGCAATGAATTCCTCCTGGCCCACTATCCCATAACGAAAAGCGAACAAAAGGCAAATTTTTAATCACACCTGAATATCAAATTTATCAAAAGGGCTCAAAGCAGAAAAAAGTATGTTTGGTATAGCAAAGCTTTGGATGAACTTGTGGTGTTTAAACTGCGTCACGTGATTTTCGGGATTGATTTCATACAATTAGAATGAAGATTGCCAACACTGATGACTGGAGCCTCTGATGATTCTCCCTATGATATTTATTCAGCTCCCACGCCACTATGAAATAAACCAGTTTGCAAAAGTAAATCCTAAGATTGCTAAATTCTCAAAACACAACACTAGTGTCGCTAACCCTTTAAGTAAAATGACTACTAATGTAAACCAGTCCAAAAGCCTCATGAAAGGATTTTAGAAAAAGCTCCTAAAGCGGTTCCGCATATTTGTCCCAGGCGAGACCAGTGAACAATATTATCAGCCACTGATATCTACAACCAATTTAGCTTCCTTGCCTTTTTTTGCTCCGAGTACCATTATCAATATCCTCCATCGCATCACCTAATTTTCTTTTAAACCCAGTAATTTTCCCCTGTGGATATTCATTCCTATCAACCAGCTTCGCATGTTTCCTTTCCCAAGCTTCATTTTGACGTTTCGAATCCTTGATAATCTCTTTCCTCTCTGCTCGACATGCTTTTAGTTCCTCCTTCAATCTGAGATAACCCTCCCAGTATCTCCTATCTTTCTCCTTGAGCGAAGATAAAACTTTGAGAGCCTTGTCTGTGGTATTGAGTGAAGCCTCTAAATTCTCCTCTACACTTTTCAGTTGGCTCTTGTTATCTCTCATTCTTTTTAACTCATCCTCCAGTGTGGATAACTCAATCTCCTTTGCTTCTACCTCACTTATTGACTCATTGTTTGCCTTCTCTAACACCTTATTTGCACCACTAAGTTTCTGATTTACATCCATCAACTCGGAGATTCTAGATCGGAAGTCTTCTTTGCAACTATGGTCAATAATGGGTACAGGCTTGACCTTTTCTGCAGTAACATTTTATTTCTCAGGAGATTGATGTTGATTATTTGGTATTTGTGCTCCTTCCTTCCTGACACCATCATTTCTCAAAGACTGAAGTGCGTCTCTGACAAGGAGGAAATGTCTCGTGACATTGGTGTCTTTCTCACAATCGACATAGCGCAGGGCCCTGTGAATGTGATATAGCGTTTCTTCAATCTTAGGATTTCGACGAGTAAATAACTTGGGCTCTGGGGCACTTTCTCCAACATTCGAGCCATGATTGATCGTCTGCTGCGCAACTACACTTTCCATATTTATAATATTCTCAATGGTTTCGCGTTTGTCCTTGCTGTAGTGTAACACTACCATGCGGAATTCTTTCGCCATTAGGAGAAGTTCGGCTTATGTCGCTCGTGTGGAAACCGGAGGAGAGGGACAGATCTGGAGGTCTGAAGTTAGCAATAGCCCACGGACCTAATGAGTCTCGCTGCACTAACCTAGTAAGTAAAATCGTAAAATAGGGATCTTGAATTAGGAGATAAGATTGACCTACTGAGGGTAGTCTTGCTGTGTATATATTGATAGAATCACGTTTTGGCATGAGTTGTAGATGGAGGAATATTTCCAAAGACAAATGAGGGATACCTCAGTTTTGAGCTCCTCCATGACCCACATAAATGTTTTTATCTCTCATCTCAAAGAAGTGAATTAAGCATGTTGGGATGCGGAAATAGAAAGCGAAGAAAAATTAGTATTTAGCAGTGCAACAAAACTTGTCAAGTCGTGTCAGGTTTAATACAAAAGACAAGTTGGAATATTCATTTTAAGGACCAAACAGTTTTCTGTCACATTCACGCCATTGATGCATTGATTATCACAATTCACACTCTGAGATATTAATTTCTAACCCTTCGGGATGAATTTATGTATAAAATTAGTTTTCGCAGCTGTAGCTGCCAGATTGCGTGAAGATCCATCAGTCAATCTATAACCAGTAACCACCATCATAACCCAGCCCATAAATCCTCATAAAATGTCTCCCCAAACCTGAAGTAGCAATGTAGAAGTTAAGTCGATGATCCCTAAAGAAATCAGCATGAAAAGTATCTCGTGATCTCAATAAAGCTCACTTCAGACGAACAAAAGCACAAGCTCTTCCGCACCAGCTGTAATATCCCCCACAAACACCACCTAATATCTCAGAAGATCACAAGACTATGTAAGTAACCCAAGTAGTCAGTTAATAGTAGTCCAAAGTCCTCTCCTGTACTGCGGACGACTTTTTCCGCTTGGTTGAAGACTTACCCAAGCCTCTTGGAACGCTCTCATAATGATCATATCCGCTCTTTCAGCCCAACCATTTTTACTAAAGAAATCTCGTTCAAGATGGAGGTGATTTCGAACTTTGAGCTTGATGGTGGAGGCTGTAGCTTTAAGTTTATCAATGTGGAACATCTCAGTGGTGGTGGTAATTAGAGCTTGTCTGATTTCTTCCATGTCAGGGACGTGAGCTCTTGAAGTTGAAACAGGCATACCATCATCAGTGATAGTTCGATTGCAGTTCTTCCATGTGGCGGGGTTATCAAAGTCGAATGGAGGTTGATTGGCTATTTGTTGAATTTGAGCTTCTTGATGAAGTTTAGCTGCTTCCTGTTCGGCTGCTGCTACTCGAGTTATTTCTTCAGCTGCCTCTGCTTGCTTTCTCGCTTCATCTTCTTCAGCTTTTTTGCAGCGTAAAACAGCTGTAAAGGTAAGGAATTCTAATTAGTTGGAATACGGTAAGAGGAGAACATGGATATACTCACAAAGTCGCAGTTCCTCTTCCATATTGATTTCAGGTCGCGCATTCAAACTGAGGTACTCCTTACTGATGTGGAGGACCAAAGTCAACTCAGCTTGCTTTCTTGTAACTATGTGAGGTTTTCTAACTCTTGCTGATATCGATTGATGATGTGGAAAAGCGATAATGAGCTTTTTGGGACTTCTTCTAAGGATGCTAGCGCCTTCCATCTGAGCGGTGGTGGATTTGGTATCTTGACTATCAGCAAAGGAGACAGATCTGCGAGGTGATTTGACTGGACGGGCAAAGCTTGATCTGGCCATTTCTCGAGACTTGTGGTAGTTGCGAATGCTTTGTACAAGAGCTGCAAAGCAAGCACGAATTTTGTTAAAGTCAGATCGTAATTCTTTATGGTGACTAGCCAGATGTTCGGACGGAGACTCAGCGCCAAAATAATCTAGTTTGACCTGTGAAAATTAGTTTGCTCGTCTTGCCTCGTTATCTTTTTCATTTTCAAAGTTAAGGAAGTAACAAACCTGAAACCTCTGAAACTCATTACAAGACTCTTTGAGCACCTGTATCATCCTCAGAATCTCTGGAGACTCCGCCGCTCTTTCCTCCGTACTTTTCAAGAAATCAAGTATCTTTTGCCAACGTCCAACTAGCGCATTATAAGAAGATAAGAATGAGGTAAAGGAATTCATGGCTTCTATTAAGGATAAATTGATAGTTGATAATGAACGGAAAGAAGTTTCTAGAGGCTCTTAGATATCTTCGTTGAGCAGCAGTCCTTAAGAGTGTAAGATCTTACAAGATCATGTATTCACTTTCAGCTTTCGAGATCATGAGATTTCCTCCTCATGGAACTAGGGTGACAAGCAGCAACTCTTTTCACTTCAAGGACTAAAGACCGGGATTCACTTCGAAGGTAGGGACTTGGGTTTGGATTTTAAACCATGACTGCAAGCTTTTCGATAATCTTGATCATGATGCCATTCAATGCTCTCGATGATCTCCTACCCATCTATCTTTGATTTAATGACGCGAGAAATTGTACGAAGTAAGGAAAGTGATTCAGAACCATTTTTATGCAGCTCACTCATGAGCTGCTCGCTATCACCGTGATTTATCGCGATCAATGAGTCATCTTGACTTATTTCAAAAACAGCAAAGACTTGAGTATTATGGCATCGAGCAAAAGTTTTTATGCCACAGATGCTGAAGGATGATTTAAAAGGCCTACCCATAACCGACAGCTCCATTAGCGAGTAGTATGATGTACGAGACTACGGAAGGAAACACAAGGCCATGTCATATCACGAGGTTGATATTGTGAGAGAATGTGTATTCAACAAACTACGTAAAGACAAAAGTGGTGATCAAGACATAAACTTATGACGCTTACCAGTAGTTTGTACAGGAGTTTGAGTCTGATGTAAAGCTGGCTTGATCTCGGGATGTGAGGGGCCGGACGCTTTTAGCTTGAGAGGGTGAATATTAATACCATGATAACACTGGCCAGCTGACTCATCATTAGGTAGAATTTTTTTACGGCTCTGCTGAGCTACCATTCATTTTATCTCCCTCTCTCAAAGCCTTAGTTAAGGATGCTATTGTATTCAGTAATGGTTTCAAAGCACACGTCTCCTTCTGGGCTTGCAGCTACCCGGAGATTTCAGACTCAGGTCTTGATATACTACATTCAAGAAGGAACTAGCATGTTTTCTCCCCAGGAAATGAACAAATCTAACATTAGCAACAAGTGAAACAAAAAAATGTTCTCTCATAGAAGGAATGCCTAACACAAAGCATGACGGGCGTGAATTGATGAGGATTTTCTCCTTGTGTTCACCATCCACAGACCATTATCACTGTGATAGCTCTTCAATGATGCGAGTTCTGCATTTAATGGAATATGTATGAAGGGTTTTCATGTGAATTTCATTACTACTCAGCAAATGCTATCCCGCCTGTGGCTTTTTGATAATGCATACCACATTTACACACACGCATCGAGGTGATCTTACGTTGAGAGAAAACTAGTTAATGCGCAGCGCGTGTGTCCTCCCCCTATGAAGGCTATGTAGAATCACTCAACTCTACAACCTCCATCCAGAATTCGTAGTTTCCGAGGTTTTTCTTTCTGTAGCAGTAGTATACTACTAGCATAAGATTATCATAATCCACGCAAGAAAACCTCGTTTAAAGACGAGAAAAACATCATTACCACTATCTAACCCCAAATACCAGCGCTTGCCTAGATATATATAAACACCACACAAAGAAAACCCCATACATTCACCCACCCGCCACATTTCCTCTACACAAACACATCTCCAACACAGCACCTCCATTCCCCTATTTCCAAAATTTCCCAAAAAGAATCCAGATGATCGCCGACTTACCCAGTCTCCCGGTACCCCAACCCCACTTATATACAGACACAAAAAAAAGATCGACAAAATTTGATTTTCCGGATTTTCCTTGATTTGCTCCATAACGATTCCACTCATTCCGCCTCTATAATCCTTGCTCGTCTCATTTCATATTTTCTTCCGGATTGATCTGTGCATGGTATCGTTGTATACTTTGTGTACCATGTACTCGAGTACATCTAGGTGTTATTATGTCCAATTGAATACTCGTGATGTTAGAAAGTCTATGATACTTCATTTTTATTGCGGCCGCTTTTCTTCTTATAGTTTATTAACCCTATCCTGTGGTACATACTTGTTAATAAAGGATTGTAGACTTTCTGATAGTATAAGTAATATATCTCTAAAACTTTAAGTTTCATTACTTTTGTGACGCCTCACCTCCGGGTCATATGGCATGCCCCGTTTGTATTTAATCACAGGAAAACTCTCTACTCTTGTTTTCCTTCTTCTTTTCTCCTTAGCTTAGTATTTTCTAATACAAGATACTTTACCCAGTATTCTTGAGTGTGACAACTTTTATAAAATATAATTAATTAGTAGAATAATCAAAATAATTCTATTTAATATAAATATTCTATTGACAAATTTCAAATATATCACAAAAGTCTTTTCAATTTGAAACTGTTTAAAAATAATAAATATCTATATAATTACTTCTACATAAATATCTTTAAATTGAATATATTTTATCATCTATAAAGAAAATATAAATAAAAAGTCTATCTAGTCTAGTCTAGCCCAGGCCAGCCAAGGCCTATAATTTCCAAAACCTTCGTATTTTCTCTTATTTGCGTAATTCCATAATAGTATTTATCACAACCTCGTGTTTACGATTAAGTTTCTTGGAGAAAAGTAAGAGTGGGAGTGGTAACCTTGTTCTTCCCTGAGAAGCTGAAAGAAAAAATTTTCACCACAAATTCCAACTTCCTAGTGAGAAGCTGAGAATCTCAGCTCCTCAGCCTGGGATGAGTGGCGGTGAAAGGGTTATTGTTGTAAATGTGAAGAGGGTTATCTTATTATTCAAGCTACGATTCCTGATTATAAAGACCGACGCACAATCATCATCGTACTTTTCATTTTGAGCCTGATAGCGGGGGCGGGGTTAATACTACAAGGAGTTTAGTTTCGAATTCATTTCACGTCAGGTCGTCAAGTCGACCCATCCATCTGGTCCATCGTACATCCAGAACAACGCCACAAAATAGAAAATTGATACTCCGGACTTTAACTAACCTAGGATAGTTCCGACAATCTGTGCCGTACCTGCATGAATCATGAACCTGAAATCTAGATATAGCAAACTAACTCCGATGTATCTTAATGATTATCGGAAAATTGTAATCCTCCTGATTTGAGGAATTTTCGTAGGATCCTAATACAAGACTAGACGCCGATAACTAGGGTTATGATAACAAATGATATTGGCAGTGATTAATGTCATCAAATTTGGATGTTATTAAGAGGTTGTGGATGTATGTACTCCATATAGAAGAGCATTGGATGAATTACATGTATCGAAATATCCGAATCCTCTCATCTAGATAGGCAGATAGATCGGATAAAAGATTACATTTATTACTTAAGAATAAATTTTTTGGATTTTACGATGAGGAAAATTAAAGTAGATGAATTTTGAGAAGATATTATGTACAGATATAAGGTTAAATAATAAGACTCAATGACGTCTGTTTGATAGATATAGGTTTTATAGAAATAATAGATATATCTAGTATAGATCAATGTATGAAGTTGCTGTGATGTAGTCAAAGACTATACAACGAGAGAAAGAAAGGGTAGTTATCGTGATCAAAAAAGTATCAATATATTCCCCCAATAGCAAAAATATATACATGTAATAGCAGTTCCAGTAGCAGTTACATAGATTCCACCATCCGCTCCAAGCCATCCAACTGTTTATTCCACCCTGTGCATCAGATCACTGACTCCCAAACGCCAGGTATGTATGGTATTGAACAAAAGAAACCAACCCCAAAGCACCCCATTCCCCCGCCGCACCCACCAACCCCAAAAATCCCATTTTCCATTCCACCTCAACCTCATCCCAAACACCAACCACAATCACCACCTCACAAAGACATATTATCATGCAAAATAGTAACAGCCTCATTCCAGCCCCTACTAGCCGCAATATCACTAACCGTCCTACCCATCTCATCCTTGGCCTCGAGATCCACCCCTGCCTTCCCCGCGACCAATTTAAGAAGATCCGCATCCCCATTCTCAATCGCCTGCATAATGGCATTCCAGCCCCGATAAATCTTATTCGGGTCCGCTCCACGGTCTAATAACAATTCAATCATATCTGTATCACCACCTTCATAACGACGTAGTGCTTTAACAATAGGAAGATGTTCGCCCGGGGCATTAATATCCGCGTTCGCGACGTCGAGGAGGTATTTAACGATTTCCTTGCGGTCTTCTCGGATGGCGGTCGTGAGGGGTGAAAATACTCCCCCATTTTTATCTTCGACGGATACACCTGCCGCAAGAAGAAGTTTGACAGATTCCAATTGATTAGCGTGAACGGCCATTTCCAGGACTCCTTTGTAAGCGCGAGGTTCGGGCATGACGGATAGAATGCGTTTCAGGATTTGGGGATTGCGAACTGCCATGCACACGGGCCAATCTTGACCTCGAACATTGACGTCTGCGCCACGAAGAAGCAGGAGATCGATCATCTCGAGACGTTCTTCGCGAATGGCGGTCGTGAGCGGCGACATTCCTTTAGCGGATTTATCGTTCGGGTTTACGCCTTGGTCTAGGAGCCAATTGAGTGCCTCCATGTTATTGCAACTAACGGCCATCTCGGCAATACCTTTGGGATTGTGGATATCTGCTCCTGCTTTAACCAAGGCGGGAAGAAAATGGACGCGGTTGTGAGTTACGCATTTCCAGGCGGGATATTCACTGGCCATTGTATTTGGATCAGCTTTGTTGCTGAGGAGGAGTTGGAAGATATCAGCGCGGTCATCGCGAATTGATGTACATAATGGAGTATACACGCCATCCTTTTTGGCATTGGGATCGACGCCAGCTTTTAGCAGAGTCCGGACCGACTCGATGTTATTGATACTAGTAGCCAGCTCCATTATTCCTGGACATTTTTTGGGGTCTGCGCCGTGGCTGAGGAGATATTGGAGACAAGCTGTTTGATATGTTGCAGGCCAGAGCATGTGTTTTGGGCCTGGAAGGTTCGGGTCTGCTCCATATTCCAACAAATTGGAAACGATATCTGCTCTTCCACATGTGATAGCTTCGAACAAAGCCGTCTTTCCCTCCTTACTTTTAGCGTTGGGGTTTGCACCATATTTGAGAAGTAAATCCATGAATTTCTTGACAGTCCTTTTGTTGATAGCACTGATGAGAAGTGTATTGCCGTTTGAGGTGACTTGATTGGCATCACCATTGTAGATGAGAAATAGATGAGCGAAACCCACCATATTGGCCATAACTGATGCAGCCAGCGGGGATTCCATATCGATACCAGCAACACGATTAGGATCAGCACCATACTTTAAAAGTGTGGTAGCTCCAGCCAAGAATGATTTATCAACGGCGGCTCTCAAAGGTGTAATTCCGTCTCTATCATGTGCATTTGGATCGGCACCAAAAGTAAGTAACAATCGTACGCTTTCCGTATCGTGAGCAAAGATTGCCTCATTGAGTGCATTGACTTCTGACCCCGTATTCGCTGGCACACCACCGTCCAATAACTTCTCCACGGCTTTGTGATTTTTGTCGCGAATAGCAGCAATAAGAGCAGATTTCATGGGCCCACTATTTGAGCCTGCATTACCTCGAGGACTCCATCGTGGCATGTTATCAGGGTCGGCCTTAAGTCGAATGGCTTGCGCAGGATTTATTATCACCCCCTCGACATCCTTGATAAGACTTCCAGATTCGACGGTTTCAGTATGTGATCGGGAATCATCAATATGATGGCTCAAATGGTGGTTCAAACGATGGTTGTCGAATGAATTGATTATATCCGTATAGTGTCTCTCACCGGAATCGTGAGAGTGGGAGGTTTTTGGAGCCATCAAAGTACCATTACTACTCGTGCTATAATGTTGGAGGTTTGAGCCTAGTAGCAGTGAAGGATCTACATTTGATGTTCTATCCCCTAAGGCCTCTTGCTGTTGATTAGGAGTCGTCCTACCAGTCCATTCGGAAGTCGGTAGTGGAGGCAGAGGAGTATACTGGATTGGAATTTGCTGTGGTTGGAAGCTTTGATGGCTACTAGCAGAGCCTGTTGTAGTCTTGGGGCGCCCTGCCTTTTCATCCATTCTGTTGAGCGCTGCAGCTAGGCCAAGGTATCCAATGCCCAACTCCTTTTCGATCTTATCATTCCCCAAACTCCATTGAAAGACTAATGCGCTCATCCTTAAATCATCTCGTGTCCTGCGCAGTGTGCCCGTCATTTTTTTGATATCGTTGGTCGTATTGCTAAAAATTTTTCCCCATCCTCGCTTGAAGTGTCCACCCGCGCCACTTTCGCTTTGAAGAAATTTAGCAAGCAGTTGATGAAACACCTGGAAATTTGCCTGCGTGGCTCGAAATTTGTGGTCGAGCTCGGTAATCATTTCTGGGGGGAAGTTTTGTACATGATTATTACATTCCTCGAGTCCCGCTTCGATGGAAAAAAGGATGTGGCAAGTGTCGAGAAAGTCATGGGCAAGGCTGTCAAAACCTTGAGGTAACTCTTTCACCGTTGTCAGGTATTCCAAAATTCTAACCGAGATGCGATCACTGAGGGCGGTTGTCTTCAGGCAGAGCTGTAAACACTGTGTCTGGGCCTTGGAGAATTTTGCTGGATTTTGCGTAGGTGGTGCCATGATCTGTTTTTGCTGCGGGGGTGGCGCAAAGTTCCTGGGAATCGTTCTTTCTGGAAGTGTTCTTTCGGTCAATGTTCTTTCGGGAAAGATACTGTAGGTGGTGTGATTGGTACTGGGGCTTGAACTATTGGGAGATAATGATAGATTGTGTTCTACCCCCTTAGGCAAGAGTTGAAAAGAGTCCTTGGAGTTCAACGAGAGAGCTTCGGCGAATGAGTATTCAGCAGCCTCAGCTTTTTGCCTAGGGACTGCAGCGCTTTGTGTAGTCATACTGAATCGGGAGGAGTGAACACAAAAGCAAATACAACCTACCTTTTTTCAGAGATATATCAATAGAAGGTGGAGAACGGCAGACTTTATGGATGTCATGTCGCAATTCCCAACTATTTGGGATATTTCGCCCTCAGACCTCGTTCCAACACACACGGCCGAACAATTAATTAAGAGTAGATTTAATTGTCCATTAGTTTCACAAGCTCGCTTGGTCTCCAGTTATTGTTAACAAAATCTTTATCTGAAATACTTATTGCCGCAAAGTCTAATATGAATCCCAATCCTGGAATGAACTAATCACGGGCGTGACAGTGATGAACCAGTTGGAGGTCGTATACGTATTGTCACGGGCGAGCCATTGTCAAGATATTCGCTAGTGCTAGTTTTATACGCTAGGTCCCAGCGATCCATCGATGTCTAACCCAAAATAGAAAGAGTGGGGCTGATCGATCAAACAAAGCGGGATATCAGCGCTGTTCGGCGGGATGTCACCACGAGGATGTGACCGGGGCACAAGGAAGAACGTAGGAAGAATGATCGTTAGAGGCACAGACTCAGGGTCCAACCCTTCATCAAAATACTTTCTGGGTTAAACGCTTGGCTAGCTTGACAACCAGAAAGCGGATTCAATTCCCCAAAAATTGGTTGGAACTGCAATTTCAGTCATGGCGACGCCGTACGTACGGAGATACCGGTGGGTGAACAGACCTCGTTACTGCTTCATTTCAATTTTGAAATCGCTGCTAGGTATGAAGCTCCTATATTTTTTTTAGAAAAACCTCCCAGTGAGACCAAGTAGGGGATACTTAATTTTAGGCCTAATTAGAATCCACTGAGCTGGGGCATTTTAGATTCCCCCCAGGGATTGGAAAAACAGTCGTAATTTTGCTTACAACTTTGTTTTTGAACGAATCAAAGCATTCCCGAAGATCTTCCTGATCCTGACTCCATAAGTTTATTTTTCGATCCCTGCCATAGAATCACTGGAATTCCTCAAACCATTGCCGTATGATCGACCCATCCAAATTCAACCGGTGAATCACTTCAATTTTTATGGTAAATTACTTCAATTGTTAGTGCCGGACCATCGAGTGTTCGGCACATAGGTATCAGTTTGATGAGCAACAAGCATTAGGTCACGAGCCTAATCAATCATTGCCCAATCATAGGAATGTGATTGTGAGTCTCTCCCTGTGTGTATGTGGGTGTGGATATCAATTCTTGCGAACGATGGTAGTTGAAAGTTAAATAAGGTATTAGTGTACTGTAGAAAAGAAGAAAAAAGGGGGACGTTATTGAGCCACTTCGGAGTTATGATTAGTCAATGCGTAAGAGATCGCCGACGTTCTTTTTGCTGTGGATAGTGCTAAATAGGGCTACGCGTTCGATGATCGGTTTTCCTTTCCAGTAAGTTTCCCCGGTGTCTTTTGTAAGCACTGCCACCTTACCCCGCTGAATGCTATGATAGTATTGAAAGCCTTATCTCTTCCCTTAATATTCTCCAGTAGCACAACTATGTGCCCATTTTGACATGCATCCTGCATGTCACTACCAGCTTCCCCACGAAACTTCAACTCCAGTTTATCTCTTCCGATCGTTGCTTTTGCCAGTTGGGCCAGTAGCATATCCTCGGTCTCTCGTTTGGACATTTCAATTAATTCGCCGTACGGTTTATCGAATGTTTTGCGAGACAGAACGTTTGGAACCGAAGGTTCAAAACGAATGGTGCTGGTGGAGAGAATTAGACGTCCTGGAATGTGATGCAAAGTGCAATTGAATGACAAAATATCTTGGCGCTCTCCGCGAACACTTTCCGAACCAACAGTTGGGTTATCATCTTCGTTGTGGCTCCCGGACTTTACCGTGATCTCCGAACCTCCGACTCGAGTATTTATATTCCTCGATGGTTGTGAGTTGATTTTCTCTAAGGTTGAAGATCCACGTTCTTGGAGATACTGAAGAGACCATTCTGAGTACGTGGGAATATCCCAGAAAGCCCACTTGAGCGGCGAAACAAGCAGGCGGTATTGGGGATATAAAGAGCTTATAGGCCAGCAACCAAAAAATACAAGACCAACCACGAACCAGAATACTTTCATGGTGAATTGAATGGAGGCACAAACACTAAGGAGAAAAACCGCCAGAAATAGGAAAAGAGAGTAAAATGTGTTCTGAGGGCGGCGAAAATGAAAGAAACTGTCGTAGACCTCAAGTAAGTTGGCCAAATCCGCAATTTGTACTTGTAAATATGGGCCGGTCTGTTCCAAAAGAGGCCCCAGCCAGTGCTTGTTTCCATGCTTTTCCATCAACTCTCCAGCTTTCAAAGCCGTCGCCCCTCGATCAATATTTCTCGAAACTTCCTCGCGCAATGCGGACACTGAGGGGTAGTAGTAGTTCTTTGCAGTTGCGTAAACGATGTACGCATACTAAACTGAAATTTAGAGGCAGTACTCTATGACCAAGCAAACAACTCTCTTACCAGGAATGACATGATGTATGATTTATACCAAAGAAATAGATACGATATCAACCATCTAGATGTTCGCCATGGGTTCTCCCACCTGTAAATCCTCCTAATGTCCAACACAAACACCTGCAGTGAAGCGCTGACTATAATGAGCCTTTCTACGTGTTTACGCAAGATGTCTATATCAAAAGGAAGCTCTTCAAAATCATCAATATACTGGGCCGTGAAATTATGTGAGCCATGGAGAAGTTTCTATCCATTGTTTAGTTTGAAAATAGCAATTGTGTGAAGAGTGCAGACTCACATATCCAATATATTTTTCCCATTTGAATTCCGCATACCCATGATCGTCTGGCGCCTCAAAATATTGATCGGATGGAAATGGTGCAGGTGTTGTGTCAACGACGCGAACACGGTGAACATGTCTATTGGTGACCCAAGCAACTCGTATTTCCTCCCTATCTCGCTCAAGTGTGTGAACCTTATTTTCGTAGTAGTCGATTTTGTCTAGATTGCCCTCATTCACGCCCCCATCGTCGCTACTATGCTGGTCATCCTTGGCCTGTTGTAATGCATCGTGGGCTTCAAGGAAGTCAAATTTTGCTTGATTTGAGAGATATGGTCTACTTTTGGCCAATTTTCCCGCGGTTTTTTTCGTAGCTTTCGATTTGATAGATGCGACTGGATGTACGATAGCATCCGCAGTTCCCTGTAGTATATTTTTGGTTCTCTTTATTCGCGATCCATTTCCCAGGCTGGATGTGTTGAGCACCTTGGCTGCGTCGAAAGCAGGGCTCTGGTGGATCTCCTCCACTACAGAATCGAAAAACTGCTCTTCCTCATTATTTTCCGATGAAGAATCGTCGTCATCAATTCTCAACAACCGTTTAGCTTTCGCCTTTGCCTTAGATCGTAAACCATCTTGTTCATTCTGAGGTAGTGGATCGCTCAAGTTTTGTTGATAAGGAAGCTTCTCACTCTGCATCATAACCTGTTGATCAGTTCTATCGTAGTTGTGTAGCCTGGTTGGGTATAGAATGTAGTTTGACCTTGAGCATGCTCAAACTGAGAAAAAATTTGACAACTTCATAAAAACTTACACTGATGATGACATGAGAATATCATGGCGTGTGAGTAGAGAGGTATCTCAAAGGGCCAAACCTTGCAGAGCATCTGTTCTGGGCCCATTCTGAGCAAGGCTGAAAGAGGCTGAATTGCGCCACTGATACCACAGAATTAATTCCTTGGTCAGATCCACGTATGAACTTTTTTTGGTTGAAAGGACTTTGAAAGAGTTTGGTGTTGGCGTAGAACCTTAAGTGTGGCTGAAGCTACCTACACTAAACCTGCTGTGGCTGAAGATTTGTGGTTTTAGATTTCAATTCCCTCGAATTAGTTGTTCCTACTGATAATACCTATCTTACATGTAACAACACTAGACAGACCGCGGAGCTGTTTCCTCTCCAATGATTGACCTGAGATACCATCTCGTATGATTGCATATGAAGTCCTTATGTCTCCTCCCAAGGCGTGTTTCCAACACAAGAAAGTTATCATGTCAAACTTTCAATCGCTCTCTGCTAACTCTAGCCATCGAGACATCCTGCGATGATACGAGTGTTGCTATTTTAGAGAAACATCAAAACAATTCTGCCACTCTACATTTCAATTCCAAAATTACTTCGGATAATAGATCATATGGGGGAGTATGGCCAATTGCCGCACATGAGTCTCATCAGAAAAATCTGGCGCAATTGGTGAAAGAAGCTGTACGGAGTTTACCTCGACAAGAATCCACAATCGCATCGTTCGAGAATACTATAGCTGTCTCATCACATCATGGATCTGAATTATACAAAAAGCCAGACTTTATAACTGTGACACGAGGTCCGGGGATGCGAGCGAATCTTATAACTGGCATGGATACAGCGAAGGGATTGGCCGTGGCATGGCAGGTACCTCTACTAGGGGTTAACCATATGCAAGCTCATGCTTTGACACCACGAATGGTATCCGCGCTCAATGCGCCAAATAAGAAAGGAGATAGTAAATACGAAGAAGACCCCGCCTACCCATTCCTCTCTTTGCTGGTCTCTGGTGGACATACCATGCTCGTTCATTCTCGCCAACTTTGTGACCACGAAATTCTAGCCACAACCTCAGACCTTGCAGTTGGAGATATGGTTGATAAAACAGCCAGGGATATTCTACCGCCCTCAGTGATTGACTCCGCATCAGATGTGATGTATGGCCGCGTCATGGAAGAATTCGCATTTCCAGACAGCAACCCTACATACAATTATGAGCCTTCTCTCAAGAACATTGCACAAATTACAAGACAAACAAGTTATGGTTGGGGATTAACGCCTCCTTACATGAGTCCGGGTCCTGGTGGATTAAGAGCTTACAATTCGGCATTCTCGTATTCGGGCCTCGGTAGTCAAGTTAAACGCATTCTAGAACAAAACCCGGAAATGAATGTTGTGGAAAGGAAATTACTCGCCCAAGAAACCATGCGAGTAGCATTTGAACACCTTGCATCTAGAGTGATTCTAAATCTTGAATCAGCGGATTTGAAAGACATAACAACGCTCGTTGTCTCAGGGGGTGTTGCTGCAAATCAATATTTGAAGCACATATTGAGGGCACTGTTAGATGCTTGGGGGCATAAGGGTATGAGCTTGTCATTCCCTCCTCCGAAGTACTGTACAGATAATGCGGCTATGATTGCATGGACGGGAATAGAGATGTGGGAAGCTGGTTGGAGAAGTGACCTGGATATACTGGCGGCAAGGAAATGGCCGATTGACCTAAGAATTGAGGGCGGGATACTTGGTTTGGACGGCTGGAATAAACAAAACATTTGATTTAGCTGCCGAAGGTTTCTGCAGCCAATATCCAATCTCATAGTACTGTTTCGAATCCATACTAATCCCAAATTAGGTTGGGGTTTCTCTGCTCCTTCAAAAGCAATTTGGGCTTCGGGATTCAAATTCTCGTCGCGAAATCATCAACTTGCTTCTTCGACCCTTTGAGAGTATTGATATGAACAGAACCGTGCCAAAATTGTTGCTCGACACTCCTTTGCCCTGTCTAACATGTACCTTGTTTTTATCCCTTTGCTTTTCTTCTCTTTATCAACTTTTAGATCCTTTTCATCAAGCTACAAAATCTCTTGATCAATGTAGAAACGTCTCGTGCATGCTTTTCCCACGTGCTGCAGCGAAATTTTCTTCTAGACCAATTTAGCAGCCTCAAATACCTCTGCTGTGGTAGACTAGCTGCCTACAGATGTTGAAGGGTAAAGTAAACCCTATCACCCATTTACCTACTATGCATACTGGTAGATGTATTGGATGAATTACATTGCCATGATCTGGGGGTATAAAGCTATTGCTGGAATGAACGATTCAAGATTTTTCATCTTACCTAGCATATCCTACCAGTACCGCTCTTCTTATCATCTATCAACTCACTGTAGAACCTCTGCCCAGACATTGAGTACAAGACTATAAATAAAATATCCAGCATGGTGTACAGATGTTGGTTTTGAGCAGAAATAAAACTGGTAAGGACTGTTTCCTTCATATGCGAGAATATTCTCATCGCTGTAGTGTTTTAATTATTTTACTGTACTTATAGTTAACTATCCTCGAGCCTTCTCTTTTCAGTCGTATATAATTATTACCATTATAAAATAATGCATATAAAGGTTTTCCAAGTTCAAAGGTGTTGTCATTAAGAATTGTATTATTATTCTAGTATTTATAAATTTCCTATTTTGCGGGTATAAATCAACCTCTAGACGATAACAGGTAGACGTACTGTCTCAAATGATATACGAAATCTATATAACCTCAAGATAAAGTATAAAGTAGTCCAGGACGGAGAAAGAAGAAGATATATCGAAGTCTTGATTTTGAGTTGGCGGGGTTCATATCGCTAGTCATTAATTTAGTTTGTTCTTTTAGATATGGGATATGTTGAGATTTGTCTCTATATAGATGTGTGATGGATTCAAAAGACTGGAGAATCGAAGGGCTGGACGGTATGTGGTTATTTATAGCAGAAGATTGGAAGACTGCTTAAGTGGATGGGTGTTTGTTTTTAGGTCGGAGGGTAGATACTTTTTTAATAGTTTTTGTTGTGAGAGACTGTTCTGGACCCTGGTGCTCTTGTATATTATTATGGGAAATTACTATTTTGCGGTAATGTGGTGAAGTCTCATCACTTCAGTCACCAAAGGGTTCAATACCTAGGTAACAAAAGATAGAGAGTAAGATTGGGGCGGGAGAGAGGGGGGCTGCGGGAACAAGAAGGGCTGTTATGAGAAATAATATGTTGCTCTTTGAAGAGATATTATTGAGCTTTTGCTTTTTGTTTTAAAATTCAAGCTTCCCTTTTAGTTGGTATTGGGTTTTGGTAGTATCTTTCTAAAATTTTACCTTGTCTTTCTTCCTCGTTCTATAATTATCATTCACCTTTTTTTCTCTTTGTGATTAGATCAATATCTCACCTTCTATGATAAGTATGGAATAATAGACTTAAAAGTTCATCTATGAGAACCTTGGAAGTCATATGTGGAATGTGGAGCGTAAGTCTTAAGTCGTCATCAATGATGGACAAAGGTCATTGTGACTTAAAAAAAAGTTTAGAGGCGGGATGAACTTTTTGCAGATAAGGAATCGAGGAAATTCAAATGGAAAATGAGACCGATAAGAGTTGTTATTGAAATAAACAGTGGTTAAATACTCAAATGAATACGATTAGGCACAGAAGGACGGCAGCATCTAGCTGAGATATGAAGCTTATATGCTTTTTCTAAAATTGAAGGAAATATGGTGAGGATTACATGATATATACATCAGAAGTCACGTAATAATGAGAATTACTTTGAATCTTCGAAATGAATAGAGTAAAGGTATCTCTCCATTGAGTTCTATGTGCCATCCATTATAAACAGAGTAGAATATCAAAGCCTAAAAAGAGAGAAGGGATAGAGGATTGACATTTTTAAAGGATTCGGAATAAATATGAATGACAAAAAGCTAGGGAATGGGCGTTGTTGACAACTGGTATTATTAGACACCTGGCAAATACCCGGGAATAATATTATCCGGTCTCAGCCTTTTCATTTTTCCCGCGGAGATTTACACTGGTCTGATATTGCTCCGGAATATATTAATACAAACACTGTTGCTCTTCCTCTTTGATACTCTTAATAATATAAAGGATGTAAATTACATTCTCATTTTAATCATCTAATTAGATTATATTTAAATATTCGTTAAATATTAGACGAGATAATTAGAGCTAATTTCTTTTATAACTTTTTCATAAATTCATCATTATTATTATATCTCAAGATGAGATATTATCCCTCAAATTACGAATTATTCCTGAGTTTGACTAATACTTTCCTCTTACTGGTAAAATCAAATTTAAACACTTCAATTTCTTCCTGAAAGGGGGTACACCGTACTACTCGCTAATATTAGACGAGAAATCTTCATATCATATAGACTTTCCAGATTGTATTTGATTTTTCATACTATCATTAGACAAGACTATTAGTCTTTAGTTTTCTTCCTTGCTAAGATTCGAAACTCTCTCATTTTTATTCACATCAAACGATATAACTCTTGTAGATATTCTTTATTAATATCTCAATTATTGCTTCTCATCAACTCTAGACGACAAAGATCTTAATACCTAGATTCTTTTGAACAAAAACTTTCTCGATTCCAGAAGACACGATAACTAAGCATTTCTGTATCATTTCACTTGAGATATAGATATACTATCGTCCTAACTCCTTAATAAATATTATCAAGATTATTGAACATTAATGGGGAGATTCACCATCATAGTAGGAATAGCTGGGGAAGTTTTGCCCGAGGCTTTCCGAAAATCGCACATTACTACAGTATCTACGAAAAGGTAATGACAATTTTTGTAATTTGTTACCTATTATAGGACTTCTCCAGAGTGTATTTTTTCTTAATTCTTAGGATATTGACAAGTTGTGCATATAGGTATGTTTATCAACGCTCCTTTCTCATATTCAGCAGAGAATTCTATTTAATTCCTCGGACTAATCAACTCTATATGTCACACAATTCCCCTATTTATACCCTAAATTATATATCAAAATTTCAACACCATCCGAAACTGTGTTTACAAGGCCTAGAATAAAGAGAGTCCCATCATCATTTACACAAAACACCATACCTCTCATCATAGCTCCTCCATATCAACAATGAGATCTTCCAAAAAACTCTCCTTCGCCCCACTCCCAGTTTCCCAACCTTTTCCAGTATCAACAGCTTCCAGAAGAGCCTTTACCTCCGGTCAGTGGTATTTCTCCATTTCGGCATAGGCACGAAGATCTCGCTTCAGATATCTGTGGACCTCAAAGCTATGCGATTAATGGGAGGAGAGAAATAATCAGACGTACTACTCCAAGTCCTTATAACGCAACATCAAGAATTCCACTCATTAACTCTACTCAGCGACTACCTGTACTAGTTTCTATAACTCCTGCAGCTCCCGCCACCAACTCCAAATCATCTCCGCAGCAATTAATAATACCAACCACCGTACCTCTTGCCCACATCACCTCTATAGAGATAAAAGAGCTCCGAGAGCGACTATTCGAGCTCACATCCAATTACCAACGACTGACTATACGAGATATTCACGCCTACTGCAGAGGCCGGTCGTAGCGCCAAGCTCTGTAATACCATCGACATCGACCTATCCTTCCTCTTTGGCATCAATCACCATATCAAACATCTCCAAACCACCACACAAAAATTCGAGAACAAAGAGACAAGTGAACAACAACCAAGCATTCATTTCTTCCCAATGTACATTGTTCAACAGTTTAATCAAAATAGTGAACTACGCAGTTGGGGAATTAACCGCGTTGAGGAGAGTTTTGGAGGGTCCGGACGGATATCATTATCAGTATCGTGGCTGGTATTATCAAGTTATTGGGAATAATCCGCGGAGTACGGATACTTTTTTTGCGGCTGCGGAGGTGGCGAGTAAGAATAAGGAGAGAGATGCTTGGGGGTTGGTTAATGAAGCTGAAAGTCTGGTGGTGAGGATAGGGGGTTGGGGTCTCGGTTGTTGGATCTAGAGGATGAAACGCAGGCGAGAGAGGAGAAACGTGTACAGATTTAGTTTTTATGCAAGCTCGGCTTTGCATGTGGCGTTCTCCCTGGTCGTCTTAATGTAGCGTTTGCTATAACTGGCCGCGATTACTTCCTTGGTATTGCTTGTTCTTTAATTTTTGTCGCTACTGCTTTGGCACTTTTGATCGCTTGATCTTTCTCGAGATACCAATTCACAGTTTAAAATATTTGTTGCTAATAGTGTAGGCACACATGGAGTATTGATTTAAGTAGTAGATGCATATATAGCAATAAATACCTCAGATTGCTGAGATCATCTGCTGCTTAACGTTGAGATAGTGGGCAGCGCATGTTTTGCGAAGTGCCAACAAGTACATTTCATAGTCATCATGATGAAGGAACGAATCTTAAAGAAAGCATTGTGACATTGGAAATTGCTAACTACTAAAAAAACTATTGAATCCTCCGTGTATCCATCCCGTTGTGTTCTCAAAAGAAACCATCAATAAACAGAAATAGAGAAAATTGTCAATAAAAAAAACACAGATAACCACCATCAAAATAAGCATGAAGACAATCACCAATAATGAGATAAAATAAGAAGAGACATCAAAAAACAAAAATAAAGAAAATTGTCAATGAAAAAGACTAATAGAATCACTATCAAAATAAGCATAAAGCCAATCGTAAGAATAAATGAAACCAAAAGGAGGAATCCCGGCTGCCTTACACTCATTTGCGAGTGCTACTGAATCTCGTACATCCTTCCAGGGTTTCTCAGAAGACAAATCCTCTAAATACGTGCGAATGATAAAGAAAATGTCTTTAAGAACAGAACCTCGATCTTCTTTTTGATGATCGGCCATCAAGTGGGCGAATAGAACCTCTCGGTGATAATAACCTCTGGCTTGGAAAAAACACAACATGCAATTCTTCGTCCCCGGGTCCATCAACTGTCTTGATCCATTACTAAAGTAGGCCTGTAGAAGCTGCTTTTCTTTCATACGATCAGAAAGTTCATGAGAACGTATATGCGCTCCCATCATTAACATGTGGCGGATTTCACAGACATTAGTCGCCACTCGATACGTACAGTCAACTGGTGCTAGTGGGCAGAGCCCTCCACGGACACGACCAATCCAGAATGGAATCGAGCGGATATGCAAAGCTTTTTTTGGATAGCCAGTCAACTTTTTCTTTAGTTTGAATATCCAGGTTGTAATGTTGCTCACCCAAATGATAAGTTAAGCCGCCGATGTCGAAGGGGCCAGACTGGCAAGTCTCCTCCAGGCATCGAAAATTTGCTGGATTTTTATGTTTTCTGAAGTGTTCCATGAATTTGTCTTTTCTCTTGAGTGGATTCTTTGTTCGATAACACCCATAAACGGGACAGGTTGTACGGAAATCTTGGGTATGAATGTTCCTAAAATGTCGCTTCAGGCTTGAATGATATTTAATTAGTCATACATCCCGTTACATAGTGCGAGGACGGACAGAAGAGGCAGGCGATAGAAAGCTATCGCGGTTTCTAGAAGGCTAACTAGTTACTCATTTCGGCGGGTGAAAGTTCTGTGGCACTCTGGACAGGTGCAACTCACTCTCTCCATTCTCACTTTGGCAGAAGTCTTTTTAGATCTGAAACTTCAGTCATTAGTAAAAAACTTTGAATTTGACCGGAATTTACTTACTCAGTACTTGAGAGCGGTCCTGAGAAGCCATATGAAGGCGGTAGTGCAGGCGATGAATGACCGGACTGGGGTCCGTGGTTGACGAGCGGAGTCGTTTCCGATGTTTCCACCGTGCCTTCATCAGTGTCACCATCCGCCATGAGGTTGCCAGTCGACGTTACGAGGTCGCATTGCAAAGAGGGATATCTCTTGGTATCGCACGGATCGAAACCGGGATTGATGTTGAAGGTAATATAAGTAGCAGCCTCCGATATTGAGGTGGTAGCATTTGAAGTGCTCCAAACCGACGTAGTTGGTATAGTAGATGACCTTGATGTGTTCGAAGCATCAACACCATTAACCCAAAGCCTCGATAGATCGGCATTAAAGTCTGCAGCGGCACCAGAGTCGTATGATTGCCTGTCTGGTTGAAGTTCAACAGGCTCAGGGTTATTTTGTTTCCAGAGACTTTCATTAAAATCTGCAGCGGAACCCGAGTCATATGTTCGATTTTCGGCTGGAGATTTAATAGGCTCAAAATGCTCATCAAGTAGACATGCGCCACTACAGTTTGCGCCCTAAAATTAGCGCGTCTTTTTTTTTGGGTCACTTACCTGGAGTCATCCGTGAAGCTCCGAGCAGAATGCAGCCCTTCTATAGAGTCTTGTGCATCGTTTTCCATTTTATTGGCGGAGGTGTTCAAGGCGTATGCAGCCACAAAAAGTGTGAGGTGAGTCGTTTCGAGAAATGGGGCAGGCGATAGACGTACTGAGCACGAATTTTTTTGAGAAATGAGATGGGAGAGAGCTGCATATCTATATTCTCCTTCTGAAGGGCTCAAATAGAAGAGGGCGGAAATCTGACCACCAAATGGAGACCAAGACCGACAAGGATATTGGAGGGCTTTTCATTTGATCGGATGTATGCAACTCATCTAAACGGGACATCAGCAAGCGACAACCTAGTTTTCTGTACAATATTAACCTATCATTTTCAGAGCAGCGTGTTATTTGAATCTGTTCATTCCTCACCATAAAAGCTCAAGAGTAGCTGATGCAAAGATTTAGGGAAGAAAACCCGTCCAATCCCAGCTGGATGAATCCTTTTTTATTTCGTCTTGTAATGTGATGATAATCCCCTCCCTAAAAGCAGCGGTCCAGATGAACAAGTTATCCTGAAGGTCAAGTCATTCTTGGGTGTCAAAGCCTTGCCTCTCCCAAACCCTTCGAGAGGAAGTTTGGAACTCGGAGATGACTGTACTGTATCTGATGAGAAAGAGCCTCCGGAAGAATTCGGTGCGCAATATCAATTGGCCGTCCCCAGTATCCGATGCAGTGATACCTGCGTCCTCCTTAAAACTCTGCTGCTCAAATTTTCTCTCTACATATGATCTTCGTAGTACGGAGTGCGCCCGAGTTGCGCCCCAAGTGTGGATGTGCTTATTAAGGCGTGTAATCTAATCACATTCGTCTTACTTCTCCGCCCTTTAGCAGTAACACAAGATAACCAAGGCATTTTTGCATATAGCATTCTGATGCGTGGATGGGAGATTATCTAAAATATCTCCAAAGCTCTTCTTTCTTTTATAATATTGGATGTAATGATTGGATTGTTTATGTCTGTACGTCATGTGACTAACCTCACATGGGGAGCTGTACTAGCGAACTCTAACCCCCTCCCTCTTCAATATAAATAACTCCCTCTTTTTATAGGTAGTGTAACAATCAAAAATGCGTAAATCACAATTAATACAATAGTACTATGCGAGTAGTATCACCGGAGTGATACCAACGGCTTGAAAATTGGTGCTTTGGATGCAACCGACCTTGTGTTTGCGGAGGTCACTTTGATGATGCTGAGGCTCTTGCCGTGATTCCTTGATGAGCTGGAAGAAGTATGCTAATGTTGTGACTAATATATGAATAGAATAGATGTTCATATTCTACTACTCTAATAAACATGATGAAATACAGAGTTAGTGGAAGAATTTGAGGTCAAAAGAGCCGTCCGCGGAAGAGGAAAGCTACTACGATCTTCCTCCTTTTCAGCGATAGAGCGCAGCCTGCAGCTCGGAATTGTTTGATGACTACCGTGCTCGTTCAAATCTATACTAATTGGCGGAAAAGCCTTCACTCTTTAGAAAGTTGAAAAAAATCCGCAAAGGAAAAGTGTTGAAGGTTTGACAACCAGAGATGGCTATTATGTCTAAATGAACTTTTCATACGTCTCCATTTTTGTTGATATTTGAGGGGAGAAACTTCAAACTTCTCAAAATCGGTGAATTGGGCATCGCTTCTGGGATAACCTATGGCTCAATACCTCTGCAGACATACAGAATTTCGCTTGTCAATTAGGTATTCGACTGAAATGTGCCATGTGCAGAGTCTTGATTGGCATCTTGGCCTCTTGGTGCTTATAATCATTGGCTCTTCATTGAGCCTCACCTGGCTACTCGTGTAATCAACCAGGCAACCCAAACGCCCCGAATGAACTAGCCGTGGAAATAGATGGCCCTTGAGCGGATTAATACCTCGGCGCCAGGGTAGAAACTATGCTCGAGTGTCAGAGATGTGAGGTTGACTGGGGTGCTACTCCGAGGTTATGGGGTGCTACTCCGAGGTTATGGGGTGTCTGTCGAGACTGAACCGTCGTATCGCCAGATAGTCACAACATGGGGGTTGGTAGCATATACTGCAGGATAGAATAGTAGAAACTTCTTGTGCATCTTCTTGTAGTTCCCAAGTTAGACAATTTTTGATGACACGCGCATTGAGTTCCAATTCAAGTCTGTCTTGGGGAGAAAAGTTGCTTGCACAGCCACACTTGAAATTCCCCGGGCCAAGATTTCTCCACCACCAAAAAACTACGTCATTATGGCTTTTGCTCCTCCCTATTCACAAACAAACAAACAAACCTCCAGCCTGATATCATTTCATATTGTATGATCCTCATTCTACAATATTGTCTCTTTTCCAAGGAACAATGTTCTACACAATTATTATATCCATCACTCAAATCCCCTAACAAATCCCACATTCTTTCTTTCAAATAAACTCAAACACTACAACCAAGATCACAATTGCCATTCTCACCCACAAATATGGCATCACTCCTTCGACAAATCGTCGCAGGTCCTCGTTCTCGACATCCAGAAGCAGGACTTGATCTCTGCTACGTAACACCAAATATAATCGCGACTTCTGGTCCCAGCGGCACATATCCACAAAGAGCATATCGTAATCCTCTCGATCAACTCGTTACATTCCTCGATTATAAACATGGGAAGGAGGGATGGATGATATGGGAATTCAGGGCAGAAGGGACGGGATATCCGGATGAGGAGGTGAGGGGTAGAGTTAAACATTGGCCGTGGCCGGATCATCATCCGCCGCCGTTTAAATTGGTGCCGGGGATTGTAGGGGGTATGAGGAACTGGTTGGAGGGAAGGGGAGATGGGGAGGGGAAGGACAACAAAGAGGGTGGGAAGGTTGTGGTTGTGCATTGTAAGGCTGGGAAGGGGAGAAGTGGGACGATGGCTTGCAGTTATTTGATCGCGGAGTGTGGATGGAAAGCTTCGGAAGCTCTTGCGCGATTTACAGAAAGGAGAATGAGACCCGGTTTTGGTCAAGGTGTTTCGATACCGAGTCAGTTGAGATGGATTGGTTATGTGGATCGTTGGACAGCTTCTGGAAAACATTACATTGATCGACAGATTGAGATTATGGAGGTACATGTTTGGGGATTGAGAGATGGTGTTAAGGTACAAGTTGAGGGATATGTTGATGAAGGAAAAACCATCAAATTATTCCACGTTTTTACAAAGAAAGAAAGAGTTGTAGTGGAAGGCAATACACCTGGAAGTGGAGGAATCAAGAATTTATTATCTGATATGGCTGGATTCGGGATTCAAGATAAAATCGCGACATCCAAAAACCCAGATCGAATCGAAGAACCAAAGAATACAAAACCAATACCACAAGCTTCGGAACCAAATACCAGTGAATCGGAAACGGATACAGAAACTGGTGGTGGAGCTGTCATTTTCAAACCTTCTACAAGAGTTATTCTTCCAACTAGTGACGTTAATATCGATTTCGAAAGACGGAATAAAGCATCTATGGGATGGACTATGGTTACTGCTGTTGCTCATGTATGGTTTAATGCATATTTCGAAGGAAATGGACCCGAAAATAATGGTAAAGCAGCCGAAAGCGGGATTTTCGAAATTGAATGGGACAAAATGGATGGAATTAAAGGATCTTCACGCAAAGGAACTCGAGCCCTAGATAAACTAGCCGTAGTATGGAAAGTTTATGATCCTGAACCTGGCCACGGTAAAAGCGAAAGTATAATTGAAGAACCTGATGTCAATGCTCCAGTTCCAGAAGTTCAAGCCGCAGATTGGAAGGGAGATAATGAAATCTCTCCTACTCATGGTGATAGGGATTTAGGATTGAGAACGGAAAGTCCGGTTAGTGCGGAAATTAGCAAGGCGAGTAGTATTAATGAGGCTGATAAGGAAAAGGAAGAAGAGAGAAAGAATGAGGAGGAAGGTTTAAGGGTTTCAAGTCCGACAGGAGAAGAGGATTTGGAGTTGGATATTGCAAATTTACCGAAGCCGGAAAAGAATGCTTCGGAACCAACTATGGAAGCCCTTAACAAGGGACTTGATACGGCGACTTCGACGACTTCGAATGCTGATGTTGATGCGAGGAAGTGAGTTTATTTTTTGGTGTGGATATGGTCTTTTACTGACCATGATGGATAGAGTTGTAGGGAATCATGATGGAATGGGTGGAGTGGAGGGAATGAATGGAGGCAATGGAAGCAATGGAGTAGATGGAATAAATGGTATCAATGATATCCCAAACGCACCATCAACATCCACAATCTCAACAGCGGATTTACCAGGTGGTGTACCAGAGGATCAGATGAAGAATGCTAAGGGTCATAAGTTGGGTCACTTGCAGAGTATTAAGAAAACGATTAATTCTTAGGGGATAAGAATAGGTAGAGTGGGTGGGTTGAAGGAGTGTTTGTGAGCATGTGGGAAGGGTACTAGGAGGGAGATTAAAGGAGTAGTAGATGAAGATGTAGATGAGGGAATATACAGTGTAGGAGGGGCTGAAGATGGGGAAATATTTTTGGTCTTGAGGTGGAGGTAGGAGTGAGGAAGATAAAGTAGAGCAGAAAAGACAAGAAAAGAGATATAGATGTGGAGCATGGTCAAGTAGAATTTAGTGAATATAGAAATAGATAATTTTATTATTTTATCTGAATTTGAATATGAATATGAATCTAGAAATCCAATTACTGAGAATTAATCATATCTTATAATTTATTCTATCTTGTTATGTAGTATAGAAGTATGAGAGGAAGTATTTATAAAAATATAATGATAAAATGAAATGAAACGAAAAGAAATGAATTAATCTAATCTAATGTGATGTGATAATGTAATTCATATGAAGATATAAAAGTATTCTTACAAAACAAAATATATAAACCTATAGTATAGCATAGTAAGATCTTACCGTACAATAATAAGAGCGCAAAGCGTAGTATGTATATATATAAATCTCCCCATCCATCCCATTCCCTTCTTCTTTTCTTCTGCCAGTTTTTCCTCTCTAGTACTTGGTGTTTATCAAATTCCTTGAATTTCTCAGATTTCTCAATTTTCAGCTATTGATCCTAGCTCTAATTCTTACCTTCAACTTTACATCCATCTATCCATTCCTCTCCATTTCTCCTCCCCCTCCCCTCACCCACCCCCTTCCCTCTTCCTTCAAACAAAACTCTTAAAAACCTCATCAAAAATCCAACTCCCCCCCCCCCCCCAAAAAAAACAAAAAAACACCTACACTTTCCCCCCCAAAACCCCACTCACATCACTCCCCGACTCACTCGGATTATACGCGCTACTTCCTGGTGTATATTGAAAACCATCTGC